AATATCTGAAAAAATAAAACGTGTTGGTGATAAATTTCAAGTGAAAACTGTGTTCAAAACTGAAAATACAATGAGATCAATTCTAACTCAAACAAAGCCGAAACTTGAAGAACAATCGTGTGTACCTTGTGTTTGTGGAAAGTTTTATACAGGTGAAACCAAGAGACCTCTTTCAGTAAGGAGGAAGGAACATAAGTATACAATATAAAGAAAAGACACATCGATAAATCGAAACTAGCTGAACATATCCTTACTGAAGACGGACAACATATGGCAGAGTGGAATATATTAAAATCATTGGAAAAGAAGATAACAACCAGAAAAGAAAAATCAAGGAATCTGCTTGCATTCTTCTGAACGGAGACAATAAGCATTGCTTCTTGTTCAGTTGATATAGACAGAACATGGTATTCACTACTAAAATCTGAACATGAAAATGGTAAATTCAAGATTGATTAATGAAAACATCCTGTAACTCATTTGATTGCCAACGTCACCAATTGTCAATGAAAACTGAATAGCTTCAAGACAGATACGACTTCGCTATTAAAATATAATATCTTCTTATGTTGAAAACGGGAGCAGAATCGGTCCCGAAACGTCCAAAGATAAGTGAAAATTTGATATTTTTTCTATACCTTTATTTCTCTTCTCCAAACTTTTTTCAATACAAATTGTCACTGACAAGTTAGTGCATTTTTCTATTAGGCCTATTCTGATAGGAAAATTCTTTAAACGCAGTGACATTTTGGGGCAAATCATCTGATTTGTCCTTACTACACGTATATTGAAATAATATCCATATTTTTATTTTATAGAAACGAGAAGAGAAAATAATGAAATAAACCTATGACTACAAAACATTGTGTACATTCAGTAAACAGAAAAGTAACCTATTTCCAAAAAATCAAAAACAAACAAAACAAACATTCTCAGAAAAAAACAGGAACGAATAGTTAAAATGAACAACAAAAATACAAACAAATGAAGAAACTAAACGTAACCTATATGTTAATTCATTACTTATTTTGTAAAATTAATTTAAACAGACCCTTCCAAAATATCATGCAATTTATAACTAAAGATTATTGATAAAATGGGTAATTATAATAATTAATGTGTCAAAATATTGATCAGTAGATCAATATGCAAATAAGGAAATCTCCTGAAAATTTCGGAAAATTCAGTAGAACTGGCCTTCGGAAATAGTCCGGTTTTCGTTCGGAAATTAGAACGTAAAATGTGATTTTATGTAGTGGTCGGCGAAAATAGTTATTTATGTACCAAGGACGAAACACTGTCTATTATAGTCGACTCTGCAAATTAATAGCCGAGGCTAGCATTTAGGCGAGACAATAGACAGTTTTTCGCCGAGGTGCATTTTTTCATCGACCTCAAACACTTATATTCACATCGCGGTCCTATTCATACTTAAGATCTATCGGATTTCGTGGATAATTAATTTGAGAACAGCAAATGACAGTTGTTTTCCTTACATGTTTCTTCTGTCTCTTTTGCCCTGTTGCGAGTAGAGTCACTGGATGGTATTAGTTATTATATTATCATTTTCTTTTTTCTATATTACAATGGTTTGAGTGAATAAAAAAATAAGACATATATTCTGCTCTTTGTCTTTTCAATCAAGCTAGTAGCGTCTGATTGTCGGATACAATACAAAGAGGTTAGGTTTTGTGTCAAATAGCGATTCACTTTTCGCATAACAATAGTTATAAAAATGAAAAGAATGCATGTAACAACATTTTAATATGACCAAATATAGAGACATTATAGCAGGTTCCTTATTATTGTATGTAAAGCTGTACTCGAAATAGTCCGATTTGAAAATGGATGGAGCAGCAGATTCTCTCAAACAGATTTTGAAACCTTCTGTTTGAAAATGGGCTATAATCTCCGAACAACGAAAGTTTCATTCTGATCTGATGTTGTGAATTTCAATGTATGTATGTACCTACCTCACAAATTCTGCTTGTCTTCAAATTATTTTTCCATCCAGGCCGTTTCATACATTCCTTCCATAAGAGAATAGTTGATATTTCCTTCGGAAAAGAAATAAATGAAATCCATTCTCTTCAGAATTCCCAGAATTCATTACACAGCATGAAATTTTCATTTATACTTTTTTCTCAATAGTTTATGAAATTATATTTCAATTCGGACGTTCATAAAATTTATCATCAAATTTGAACAATTTTGGATGAAAAAGCGCGGGACGACTTTGGTGCTCTTGTCACAATGCAAGGTGTGTCACTTAATAAATCTAGCGAAGCCGGAAATTTTCAGTAGAGTTGATTCTGCGCCAATTGAGGGTATTGGCTATCATTTACTATGATGTGAAAACATTCGTTATTCGAATTTACCGTCAATAACAGTGATTTGAATTTCCCGCCATTATCAAAATCGCTCTGATTGGTCTCCTATACCACCCTATATATATGATGGGGCAAAACGGATTCGTGCGTATATATCAACAGGGTAGGACGATGCACTGGCGTGCCCAAAGGATGAGGCTTTCTGGGTTTGAACCAGGGCCTACTCTATCTCACCGGGCCGTAGTCTATCCCCTCTCTCTCGACGCTGACGTCACACTAGTAGATTGAGATTTCACATCAGTCCGTACTGGTGCGTTCGTAATTGATAGGCTATAGCTCATTTACTATGAATTTTAGAAGCACACTCAATCGTGACGAAATGATCCCCAACAAATTCCTCAACTTTTGGTGAAAAAATGAATTCAATAGGATGAATCAATACCGAGTTATGGCGTTTTAACGAAATTCCATTTTATTGAAAATCAGGACGTTGTACTACAGAATACTATTTTTTTGCAAATTTGGACTTGGAATAAGATGAAACTAACTCTATATATCAAACTACGATAATGAATCAATTGAATAGTGAAAAAATTGTAGAGTTACCTACAATTAGTCCGAAAGAAATTAAATATAAAGAGCGCGTAAAAAATGGGCCGTTATACCTACCTACCCAAATTTCGCTGTATTACGATTTCGCGGTGATTCCTTGGACTGCATGGTAAAGGGCGATATACTTTTTATTACTCATTTTATTTCTAAATGGCGTATGGTTCAGACCAACTAATATTGGTGTCTGAAAAATTCGAAACAATATTTCTACAATGTAAGTCACAACATAAAGTTTTGGAGAATTTAGCAGAATTTAAAATCAATTCCCTTCTCAATTATTCCGAGAATCAATGTTGCAGTTGTGGGTCTTTTGATGGAATCAGCAGAACATTCTCTAAAACCATTTCAAATATTCTGTTGAACAATTATTGCAAAATAAAAAAAAAAGGGAAATCACTAAACTTTCAGGATGAGATATAGTTCAGATTTCAATTTTTAGTTTGTGATTAAGATGATGTATATATATTTTTTATTATTAGTATATTTAATTTTGTGATATCTATTAATTTTTTTTATTTTGTTATGTTGATCATTTTTACAGTTTATTTTGTTTGCTTTTGTTTTTATGTATAAGGATTCAACGTTTTTTTTTTCATTTTTTCCTTATTCATTCATATATCGTTGTTCTGGGTATTTTGTTATTCAGTTCGTTATATTCATTTTTATATCCCTCATTGTTGAGATACATATTTTTTCAATCATTTTTGTTAGGTTGTGTTCATATGAACTCCACATATTTTGTTCTTTTTAATTTTGATAGTTCGCAAATATATTCAAATAACATTTTTTTCATGAATTTAACGTTATCATTCAAATATATACTCTTCAGCAGAGAATAATTGATACCAAATAGGCGTTTTTGTGTAATAACACACTCGAGTGATAGGATTTCTAACGTCATCAAAGTGCGTCCTGATCATCTTTAGAGATAAAACCCTTCGAGATAAAGTGGATGTGTATTATACCGATTTGTAGGCAATCAAATTTCCTACAAAAAAGTCGGTGACAGCATATATCCATAGTTGATAGGATTAGCATGGGTGGCGTCCGAACTTTTTGAACTATTCTGTAATGAACACCTGAATCATCTTTCTACTTGAATTGACATATCGATTTGTTGTTGGCCCTTGGGAATTTAAAAAAAACTCAGTCAATCTAGATACTATGCGAAATCTTTTCATGATTGAATCATTTCTGTGAATTAAATATTGGAATTTTGGTATCTGTTTGAAAAAGGACAATTCTGAATGGCGTCAATTAATTTTGATATGCCATAGTTCTGAAATTAATGATCGTAAATCAGTGAAATTTGATTCATCTTCTGGAAAATTCTTTTCTATACATATTTGACCTCTTGATATTTCTCGCTAACTGTGACCGTTTTCCCGAGGTAAATCAATGAAACGGGAGAGACAATTTCCACTGCGTTGATTTTGTCCCTACTAGTGTGATGTCACGAAAGCGATGCTCCGGCCCGGTGAGATAGAGTAGGCCCTGTTTGAACCCCTTGCCAAAATCCATCCAAAGCGTCGTGTGATATCGGTAGTTATCGTGTTTTTTATTGATTATTATTGATTGAACTGATGACCCCCCCCCCCTTGGGCACGCCATTGGGGCGATGAGAAATGATTCAGCTGCGTTGATATAGTTCACGAGATTGGTTATCTGTCAGTCATTCCTAGAACCCCTACGATAGAAGTTATCAAATCATAGATAAAAAATGTTTTTTCTGGTTGTATGGTATAATAAAATTTGGAAAATGAGTGGAGGAGAACCCCTAATATTTTTTCCCATCCGTTGTGTGCGCCCCAGAGTTTCCATGGGGATGTTATGCTCCTTTAGAAGTACTTCTCAAGTCCTTGCAGAACTTATTGTTCCAAGTTTACTCAATTTTCAACATTTCCAGCTACATGGAGATAATGAATTGTAAATATTCGCGATTCAAATTCACCAACTCTGGACCGATTCGGGTACATGTGAACTCGTGGCCCCTATACATTTAGCAAACCATTTCAGATTAGCTTCCAGCCTAGATTGAAATTATATGCGATAGTATATTAAAAATGTTAATATATTTCAACTTCAACGATGCAAAGAACAAGAACATAAATATTTCAAACATTTCAACAACAGCATTTGGAACAAAAGGATTTCTAATCAATATGAATTCATCTTGAATTCAACAACTTATACTTAACACTAAAGAACAAAAAAAAAGATAGTTTATATACTGACTGACAATTAAAATTCACAAACGTTGTAATCTCGGTCCTAGTTGTATGCATTTCAGTTCTATGCAATCTGGTTCGGAGCATAAAATTATATATTTCTTCTTGCACAACACTGGAAAAAAATATCTATCATCGAGTCAACTATAAATTGAATATGTACCATGAAACGGGATGAATCAGGACAAAGGGGTGAATACGGACAACTTTCAATTATGAAAAAGCAGGGTTCAGATCAAATGGCGGACCACTCATAATTTGAGCCTTTTTCAGCTCCCGTATTTACTGAATGAATCAAACGATTCACTTGTGGTTTTCAGCATCAATGTTGTGTTTCATCAGTATGAAATATGGCCATTATATTTTGTATTATTGGCTTGGCCATTACTTACAAACGCTTAGATGTTCACAAAATATTGTTACGAGACTATCTTTCGTGGTATAGACTCTCGCGGTCCTCTCTGAATTACGTGGAAGATGTAGGAAGATTTAGGGAAGGATCTCGAAAGGTTACGAAAGCGCCAGAATGTCCTAGGTTAGATATAAATATCGGCAGGTAGCCCGACGATATTACTAATAATTAGAGAGCCACAGTAAATCGATAAATCAGTTGAAGCTGTTATATTAGAAAGAGACGTAATCATTGTGATACTGTATCGTGTATTATAAATCGTTTTGTTTTCTACTGAATGTTTGTGAAAGACCGAACCCGGGCATTCACCATAGCAATATTTTGTAGCAACAAAATGTTTCTTCAACACTGTAGCTTATTTAAGTGGAGTACGAGTATTTACTGAGTATCCAGAGTTGACGCAGATTATAGAAAATATAATTTTTCGCAAAAGTGTCACTGATATACATTTGAACAGTAGCTCATCTGATGTAAAATATGTCTTTTCCATTGTTCATTGTTCATCTGGAAATTTACAATTGTGAGGTTTTCGGAAATTCATCGTCAATCGTCATACAGAGCTATTTATATTATATTTTTATATACAGGGTGTCCCTAAGCAACTTATCTTAGTCCGAAATTGCTCCGTTTCCGAGATACAGGGTGGTAAAGTTAACAAATTGAAAATCGACAAGTACACTCCAGAAAAGTATTTTGAAAAATCCATTTCGCACTGCTAAGTCACTGACCATATTACTACCACGAAGATTACAATTGCGGTGCACCATCGAACACTATGAACACAGAAATATCTTACTTTGGCGGATTTTCACAAGAGTGCCTATTTTGCTTGAAAATGTTCTGAAATTATTTCCTCAACAGAAAAACTATTAAACCACTGAGATAAAAGCTATGGTAATTAATTCTAAGCCATAAGAAGTGCATTGATGGGCGCCCTCTAATGGCCACAGTGAAAAGGTTTGAGGTAATACATTCAAAAATATTCATAAATTTTGAAAAACTATATTTTTATTTTTTAAGTTCACCACCCCGTATCTCGGAAATGGAGCAATTTTGGACTGAGGTAGGTTATTTTAAATCTGCTAATTTTGAGCTCAGGAATATGAGCTGAGATTTTGTACAGATCTTTTAGGGACACCCTGTCAAAATTTTCCCGAGAAGTGTCAATTTTAAAGATCATTAAAACAAAATATTGGCTGAATATCCAAAATGTGCTCCGATTCACCCACAATATTTTCAAATAAATTCAAAATATGTCCCGATTCACCAACAATATTCCCAAAAACGCAATATTAATGAATGTATAACTCATCATACCAAGATGTCAAGAATAATCAGAAAATGAAAAATGATGATGATTCAATAAAGATAATTTTCGATAAATATATCTACAGCTTAGGATGGTCCACCATTTTTGTTCATATACTAACCTAACAAATCAGAGAATGCTCTAGCCATATTCAACCTAGTCATGGGCTTTTCACAAACATCTTCTATTGTGGATTCTTTATCTTCAAAATTCCATCTTAGAAGAATGTTGATGATTTTCTGCTGTCTAGAAAAAGAATGGATTAGGTACTATAATAGTCTTGATTATAGAGTGAATATTGACAGTAGATTTTTACATGTTGGACCTCGAAAATTTTAAATGGCATATAAGGAACACTAAAAATATTGATATTCAGATACTAGTTAACCGGGACTTATAGTCAGTGCACTGAATCTCTCTTTCTCGGGTAGGTAAATTGGGTTCGTTTGTTCAAGGTGAGAATAAATAAGTATATCCTTATACACACGTACAAATACTTCTATTGTATTAGGAAATTATACAACTACAACATACAATAATTATTGTTGTACAAGAAATAATTCTTGCTAACAAGCAAGAGAAACAAGGTTAACAAATTCCGTACGTTCCTGTCCTTTGGCGTACAGAACCCGACTAACTGTGCCTGTGCCCTCTGCACTCGCCCTTTCCTTAGCTCCTGTCGCCCATATACACTGCACCACACAATATAGGACCGCGAAACCATCTCATCAGGCAACTAAATTATATCTTCTATCGTTTGAATAAAAATCTATAAACTAATCACAACTAGGACAAAAGTAGCAGAATGTAATACTCATCATTACAGTGAATGGAAATGGTTTATCCGAAACGGGAGGTCGTACGGAAAATCTCTCAACTCAACGCTATTTTGTAGAGCTCAAGAAGTGGCACTGAGAAAGTGTCTTTGGTTTTCCTGTATCTCTTTAAATAACGTCAGAAAAAAATGAAAATGATCTCTATGAAAGACATCTTTATTTTGGACACAGTGTAAATCGGCCCAAAATGGAAAATGGCATAAAACTGGGTGATGGGGTGATAGATTTTCGAGAAATATTGAAAGAAGAGTTTTCGGACATATTATGTTTGTAGGAACATTTTTCATCAACAGGAAGCACCTCTTGATTTTCCGTCATGTTGAATTGACTCAATTAGGGGCTAATGATTCTGTCTGAATAGATATGGATTTCACAATGTGACTTGTGACTTATTTTTTTGTTCATATGGCTCTCTCAACAAAAGTGTGGGTTTCATATTATATTGAATACCTATTGGAAATCTCCTGTATTGAGTTAGTAAAATAGTCTTTAGTTGAATAGATAAACAGACCAAAATGGACTGTGATGTTCACCTCATATGCATTTTATGTGAATAGAGAGCTAACTGCAACGACTACTTTATCATAATAAAAATCATCATTCTGATGATGCTTACCTTGATCTGAAATCCACTGGAGATTCTGGTGCCCTGTAAAATTGAAAAATAAATTATGAAATACATAAAATAACGTTTCATCTTGTGATGGAGGTGGTACTAAAGTCCACTCGAACTAACCGGAAAGGCTAAGAAAACATAGGGCAGTACTGTCGCTTTGATTGGTTTATATATTGGATGCCCTAAACCTCTTAATTTTCAAGCTATAGGGTGTTAAAATTTTAAGAAAAAAAATTACTAGAAATTTTTCTAAAAAAGTATTGAACGCCTATGCTTTTTCCGGAAAAAAAAATTCTCATTTATTTTGCAACCATTCGACCTAATTTTTTTTTCGTCCCACGCAGCATTTTCACGTGAAAAAATAAAAACCATTTTCATGCATTTTTGGTACAACAAAATTATTTTGAACTAGTTGGCTTGTGCCCTATTTTGTACATTTGATCGATTACGTTTTCATCTCAGTTTGACAAGTATTCATAATGTGACAGAAAATTTCTTCAATCAATAATAATGAAGAGAAAATAAAATTTCAACACCGTATAGCTCGAAAATTAAGAGTAGGGCATATGTTTATGTAAACTTTTCTTCTCAAAATGAGCTAAGGAAAAATATTCTATATTTTTAGCAATCAATTGAATTACACCCTGTTTACTCTATCCCTATCCCTACCAATCTCTACTTATATTATAAATGTGAATCGAATTTTGTTTTTCGGGCTCTCACGCCAAAACTACTCAACTGATTATCATGAAATTATGTATACACATTGTTAGATGTATTAGAAAGGAGATAGGAAACTTTTTATTGAAAAAAATTACGACGGGTAAAAAAATATTTTGGCAGACATGATTGCTGGACACAAAATATCCAACAATCAGACATTAAACTCTATACGTCGGTACCTCAGATATTACTTATTAGTAGAATACGTATTTTGGGATTCGCAAGTCTTGGATTATTTAGATGATGAAATGAAAATGACAAATATCTAACCTAACATCAGATGGGCACTTCAAAGGCGCGAATTCATTACTGCATGGGAGATACCCTTTAGTTGTTTTGCTATTCAGCGACTTGACCACGAATAACATTGACGTTTTAGTCTTCTGCGCAACCAAAATTCACCGAATTCAATACTACCTGAATTGGTCCTTCTAGAGACAGGGCAACAAATAATTCATCAGTCGCGTGAACTAGGGTCCCTTGATGGAAATTGACGTTAAAGTCATCTTAACAGGGTACGGACAGATCCTCGTCTCCTCTCACTCTAAAGTGTTTGTGAAACAGTTATTTAGTTCCATCCTTATTCAATTCTGGGGATAAACACTAGATTTTCGACATTTGTTGTTTTTTAGGTTATATTGAGGTCACTGGCGTATCATACGTAAGTTCCATATGGAATTCCTGATTCAACTATACCAAAATATAGATGAACAATCCTCTAGTTTTAGAGTTTACTACTCCAGCATGATCATTGCGAGGTAGGGAACATATGAATCATACTGAAAGCTTAATATATTCCACCAAAAGAGGCTGTCTCAGACTGTATACCAGGGTTGACTGAATCGACTGAATGAATTCTGATTTCAAGCTAAGCAGTAGTTTCTCTATGAGCTGAATGATAAAAAGTAATACGTAAAATGTGCAGGAAAATGAAGAATAGAATATACTTTACCCCCATGTTATACATATATTATTCTTCCGTCTCCCTTAAATAAAAAGTCATTTTCAAATAATTTATTGAAGAAAGTAACAAACAAGTAGGTTTACGCAGTATAACTTATAGGCACGTTATTTTCACTCCTGCATCCTACATATTTTCTATTTGTGGTAGAGTAATAATTATATAAACTAATGTCTTTCGCCATATTGGATCCGTCATCTTGAATTTTCCAATTTAGACGAAACAATCATTATCTCCTACCCCGAAAACCCCCAGATAACAATTTTGAATAGAATCGGATCTTCGTTACAAAACTCGTCCACCATATTGGATCCGCCATCTTGAATATTCCAATTGTGACGAAAAAATCATAATCTCCGACCCCTGAAAACCCCAGATACAAATTTTGATTTTTGAATAGAATCGGATCATAATCACAAAATTCGTTCGCCATATTGGATCCGCTATTTTGAATTACAAATTTTGACAAATAATCATAAAGTTCGACCCCGAAAACCCTCAGATGCCAATCTTGAATAGAATCAGATCATAATTAGAGATTTCTTTCGATATATATTGTATCCGTCATCTTGAATTTTCCAAGTTTGACGAAACAATCATTATCTACAACCCCGGAAAACCCCAGATATCTTTCAATTTTGAATAGAATCGGATCATAATTACAAAACTCGTCAGCCATATTGAATCCACCATCTTTAATTTCCTAATTTTGATGAAGGATTCATGAACTTCGATACCGAAAAACCCCCAGATACCAATCTTTAATAGAATCAGACCATAATTACAAAACTCGTTCGCCATACGATCTTCCTCAACAAGTACCTAAATACCCTGTACATACCTATTATCAAAATTTTGAATGATTATCTGTAGCGCCCATGGATGTGACGTGACAGCAATGTCAGGGATGCCAGTAGACAAAACTAAAATCTCTAGATCATTAAAAAAGAATGCAACTATGATCTGTCCGTACCCTGTTAAGATGACTTTAACGTCAATTTCCATCAAGGGACCCTAGCGTGAACATATGACAGATGGTTAGCCCTGGAGGTAAAACAACGCTGAGAAGTGACAACCTAAATTTTCTTCATTGTTTACAAAGGATCGAAATAGATTTCCACAGTCATTTTGGCATGTGAATCGTGTTACTTGGAATATTTATCTATTCAATCATGCCATCCATCACATTGTGGAATATTTTCAGTAGAGTAATAGTGCAATAGTGCAACCAGTGGAATACGCAACAATATCATGACTTATGACGGGACCTCAAGGTCAAAGATTTTTTAGGGAAGATGACCACATCGGATCGCATCATTATATTCCCTTCATTTTTTTGTATTATTCGATGGTACAATGAATATTGAGAATTTCGAATTCAGAGTGGAACTACAGAATAATTTGCACACTTGATATTATTCATGGCAACAAGCACACTTGAAGTTTTTCATCAATTTTAATTCAATAAAGAGAGAGGAGATCCTTAGCAAAACAGCTTTATAAAGATAACTTCTAAGTTTACGAATAAAAAAAAAATGGCGCCTCGAGAAATTATTTGTTGATAAGCATTTCACTGCAGACCCACCCACGTGCGGACATGCGTCATGCAACTTTACAACAAATATAAGGTGCGAAGAACTTCAAATGTATTCTTTGTTACATGGACTGATCGATGTTTGTATGACATTTTGAAATGAAAAACAAAGAGTGGCTCCACAAAAAATAACAATTTTTCTGGCTAATAACGAACCCCATGACACCTGTTAAAATGATATTTAAGATATGAAATATCTAACGGTGGAAGTTTGAATTTCATTTCAGCAATGTCGAATGGTTCTGATAGCCTGAGATTTTAAAGCATTTTCAAACTACCACTTCATTAAAATTTTGTCAAGAACAGGTTGAAAAAACTAGAATAAACAATGGCCGATAGACTGCGAGGTCTGTAGTCCGGTGGAAAACAAAATATCAAAGGTGTTTAACACATCTTAAAAGAACGGTGATTATCTAGAAAACACTATGGTACGGATGAGCTAAGTTCTGGAATTATACCAAGTACAAGCAAATGAGGTATTATGATCACATAAACCGATTCACAAAAAAATACTTACCGAGGAGATTCCCTTCTTCTTTGCGGTGACTCTTCATGGAGAACCGTCGGAGCAACTTCGGAAGGCAGCTCTTGTGCGACTACAGGTATCGATTCTGCAAGTAGATCTTCTAGAACAACGGGTTGGATGGGCACAACCAAGGTTTCTTGAAAAACAGACGGCTCGATCACTTGACCAGCTTCCAGCTGCCTAAGGATTGAAAGACATGGTTTACGTTAGTTCATTTGTTTTCATGTTTCGTTCTGAATAACTATTGAGACTGTTTAGTTCATTGGTTTTAATGTTTCATTTTTTAAATCTTCAGAAAACTTTGAAATCAAATCCATCACTTATTATAAGAAAGTAGATGATAGAGATTGTTACAAAAATCTAGAAATCAAGTTGTCAGAAACAAATCTTTCGCTGATATATTATTCTGAATTCATTTTATGTGATAATAGCTTGGGCATTAGGGGAAATTGTGGGTCACTCTAAATCATATGTTATATGATTAGTTATTATTATTATTATTGAAATTTGTAGGAATTTGAGAATCTACTAAGCAAGCCCGTGGAAGTCGTCAGCTAGGCCACTCAATAAAATCCACATTGACCTACTGCAAATTGGCTTCCTAATAATGAATGTTCAAGCGTAACAATATTTCCTACACCGCAAAGGTGTAACGGCAAACACCGTTATTAGTGTTTGTACAACGGCTCATCACAACCGATTAGCCGCCGGTGTGTTACGTCTAAACGAAGCGTTCCCACTTTTTACAAAGGCGTTGTCTATCTAGACTGTGTATGATCTTTCATCAAGAATAGGATGGACTTAATACTGTATAATAACATAATAAAAACTATTACTTCTTGATGATAAATATTATATGAGTACTAGCTGACCCGGCAAACGTTGTTTTGCCATGAACACTATTTCTAGAAAATATGTTTTTAGTTAAATATTCATTAACACACTTTTGTTATTTTATTTTCTACTTCTTTTCAGTTTGGCTATCCATAAAAGTGTTTCATTAGTTTTTTAAACTACGACTATTTATTACAATAGCTGACCCGGCAAACGTTTTGATATAGGTATACAATTATTTCTAGAAAACATTTTTTCAGTTGCATATTTATCAACACACTTATATTATTTTGTTTTCTACTTCTTTTTAGTTTGACTATCCATAATATTGTGTTCCTTCAGTTTTTCAAACTACTATTTATTTTCTAATTATTTTTATTTCGACAATCTATCTCTTCAGTTTTTCAAACTATACTATCAATTTTCTACTTCTTTTCAGTTTGGCGCCGAGTTTGCCTATCTATCAAAGCGTGTTTTTATTATAATTTTCCCAACCAATATTTATAACAAAGCTAGTTCGCCATATTGGATTCGCCATCTTGAATTTCCCAATTTTGAAGAAAACATCATAACCTCCCCCGAAAACCCCCAGATACAAATTTTGAATAGAATCGTATCATAACTACAAATCTCGTCCACTAAATTGGATCCGCCATCTTTAATTTCCTAATTTTGACGATGGAATCAATTTCTGACCCCGAAAATCCCAGATACCAATTTTGAATAGAATCGGTCCATAATTGGAAAACTCGTCTGCCATATTGGATCCGCCATTTTGGATTTCCTATTTTTGACGAATAAATCATAATCTTCGACCCCGAAAATCCCCAGATACCAATTTTGAATATAATCGGACCATAAATAAAAAAACTCATTCGCCATATTGGATCTGCCAATTTGAATCTCCTATTTTTAACGAATAAATCGAATCTCCAGATACCAATTTTGAATAGAATCAGACCATAAATAAAAAACTCCTCCGCCATATTGGATCCGCCAATTTGAATTGCCTATTTTTGACGAATAAATCATGATCTTCGACCCCGAAAATCCCTTGATACCAATTTTGAATAAAATCGGATTATAAAACTCGTCCGCCATATTAGATCCGCCAACTTGAATTTTCGATTCAAAAAATAGATTACCACCGATTCTCATACCTACCGAATACGCTCAAAAAATTTCATACGAATCGGTCGACCCGTTTCGGAGGAGTTCGACCACTAACACCGTGACCGGACAGGAAAATTTTATATATTAGATAGGTAAGCCAAGATCCAGCTTCATACACAATAGTAGGCTCACTCTTAATATTTGAAAGTTTCTTAGTTTAATTAAATATGTTTTTTGAGACTCACATTGGCATAAATCCTTCGTCAGGGGCAGACACCTCTGGCACATGCACTTCTGGCACATGCACCTCTGGCACATGCAGTCTGAAAGATGGAAAAATTAATATTTTCGATTGGATATTTCAATATCAAAGTAATTTATGAACGATACAAAAAGTATTTTCGAGTTCATCGATTATAGAAACTATACAAAGTACTATTCTACGTTATTATTTATAATTGACAAAAAAAAACTGAAATCGCAATAATTCTATGGCTTTTTAACCAGGGCGCAAAGCATGAAAATAAGGGTAACTCTGAAACGCAACATAAACAATGTTTACTATTCTTGAGGGCAGGGTTCCACAAAGTGCACTATAGACCGAAATTTCTTTAGTTACACTAAACCCTAAAGTCCAATGTAGCAATTTTTTTATAAGATGTGCTGTTCTTAATTCGAACAAAAATGAGCTTGTGAATGTGACAGGTCACTGCAGAAAAATGAGGGGATGAAACGGAAAATCATATCAGGAAATCATCAGAAGGCGTTTTATATAATGTCCGAAAGTTGATCTCATCTGATGATGGAGAATGATTTCTTCACATTGTACGTTCATGATATCGCGATTCGACTGCTAAATAACGTTCTTTCCCGCATTTTTGATGTAATGAAATATCGTAAGATATGAATATTAATGGAAAAATGTACGAAACATTTTACATAGTATAGGCGCTGGAATATCCATATGAAAGCAAAAAATGCTGGTTTGCAAACGTTCTAGACACTGTTCGAAGAAATAGAAATAGACCATTTCAATGAAAACATAGAATACAAAAAATTCAACCAGGATTGACGTACCTGCTTTTTTCTTCGGGAGTAGGCAGGATTTCAGCTCTACTAGTTGTAGGTGTTTCTTTGAGAGAAATTTCGGTTGTAGTAGCAGCCGTATTTGAATCTCTAATTTCCAGCGAAGAACTTTTCTTGAATGACGTAGTCTTTCTGGGAACCAAGGAGCTAGACCTGAAAAACAATAAATATACATTGGTATCATATGGGAAGAACTTTTTGTAACAATTTATTCGACTTGGTTTGCTTTAAAACAGATGAAAAACACCTACACTCGATCGCGTTTTCGTGACCTCCGCTACATATTAGTTACATTTTTTCAAATTAATCGCTGAAAATAGGCTGACTAAATTTGAAAGTTTTACCGAGAAAAATTTTTCCTAATATATTAGTTCCTATAGTTCTATCTCAATGTAAATCGATAGTGCTACTTAATTATTGGATATTTTGATATTTGATTGATCTTTCCATTTTTTACACTTGGTGTCACTTGAATAAAATGTGTTTTTTGGTTTTTGCATGAACGTAGAAAAAATATTGTATGCAACAAGTGTTGAGCTTGACGTGTTGTGCGATAAACACTTACTTCTTGCACTTGTTGCATAAATTATTCTTTTCTATTCTGAAATGTGCATTCACATCGGTAGGTAAATAATCTAAGATTCACACATACAGTGGGATAAAAAAACCCGTGAATATATGGATTGAGGATTCCTCCTCCTGTCCACAGAACCTGCATCTTCTTTCAAGCCGAGCTTCCTAAGATATCGTTTCAACCAGCAATGCCGTTCGGGACTCCTGTTAATATTCGAAGTTTATTCTCGCTTAGACTGACAAGTGCGTTTGATCTTCAATTATAGTCACCCAGTAGTATCTTAACTTGCTTAGGAGATTTTCCCAGATCGCATCTCTCTAAACTTCTTCTTTCCAAATTTCTTCTGATTCCGCAGAAGGGTTCTCGTCCTACAATGCGTGTTTGAGAGCTCTTTTCCAAGCAAGTTGTCTGCCACTTCATTTCCTCTACTCTGGAACCCATAAGAGGGAGTCTGTTTTTCTCTTGGCTAGCTCGTTCAGTTTTTCACGGCATTCCCAAACGATCGTAGTGCCGATTACGATGGAACTCAGCGCTTTGCTGCGGAATACGCTGTCCTTCGCCCTGTACGATAAGTTTCAGCTCGTATTGTATCTTTAGGTAGTGGTGTTTTGGTCTTTTAGGCCCAGTTTTCTGTTTTATTGGGAAAGGACGGTTGGTTATCGCTCTGATCTTCAATTATTTAAGTTTCAATTTTTTTAGTGTTGATATTACACATAGCACATGTTGGTTATCGACTGGTGTAATAATAATAATAATAATAATAATAATATTTATTTACCATAAATCACAATAATTACATTAAAATACTTATACATTTTGATGAATTTTTATAAATTTTGATAAATAAATATAGAAATCCCACAGAAGGATGAACCTGTGCGTGGGATGAAAATATTAATAGAAATGTTAAAAATAAATAAATTGTAATGAAGTATTCACAGACATTTATATATATATATATATATATATATATATATAATATATGACAGCCATGAATTCACAAATTTTATATAAATGTATAAAAATATATACGTGTACGCGAAAAATATAATGGACAGATTTTGAAGTCACAATCATTTGGGGAGTATATATGGAAAATGGTATTATGTTTATTCACTTATTTTTATTTGTGTTGAAGCACAAACAATCTTTTTCAGTTTTTTTCGGTTTCTGCATAGTAATATATATTTTTCATATCCACATATTGGTGTATCTGCAGTCTTGGTAGGCTCAATATCCAGTATTTAACTTTTTTGAATAGGTTGATGCTGTTTGATTTTATGTCCGCTGGAATAAGATTGTACAGCCGAGGTGCTAAGTATGAATAGGATCTCTGGAGTGTGTTGTTCTGTGATTTCATGACATAGGAGACATTCATTTTGTGACGAGTTGCATATTGATGCTCGATTTTTTTAAGTTCATGTTTATTAATATGTTGTCTAATTGTGGTTTTGTGAAAGTAGAGTTGTCTGATGTCTAGAATAGATGTTTCTTTATATAATGTCTCCGAGGGGTAGGTCCTTTTTTTGTGATGAATTATTTTCAGAGCAAGTTTTTGTATCTGTTCTATATTTTTTATGTGAGTGGTATTTGCAGCGCCCCATACAACTATACCATATGTAAGGTGTGATTCAAATAGGGCATAGTACAGCATGCGCATCTGTGAAACCTGTAGGTAAGGCCTGACATATTTTAGTCTGTAAGTAACAATGCGTAATTTTTTCATCAGATACTCAAAATGCGCATTCCATTTCAGATGGGAATCTATAATAACACCAAGGTATTTTATTTTGTTTACTTGAGTGATGGTGAAGTTATCGTCATTGTATTTCATCGTTAGTGAGTTGAAATTTGGTTGATTTTTTGAGTACGCCGTGAAAGTGATGAAGAAGGTTTTGGTCATATTAATAGTTAGTAATCTGCCCTCGAACCATTGAATTATATTTTTGAAGTTTTCTTCGGCTTTTCGTTTTAGCGATTCCCACGATTCTGAATGATAAACAACTGCTGTATCGTCTGCGAAACTAATTATGTCCCCTTCTGTATTTGAAGTGAAAAGTTCATTCAGATATATGTTGAAGAGCAAGGGACCCAAAACAGTACCCTGGGGTACTCCATATTTAACTGTTTGAAACACACCGGCGATGTCATTAATTTTTACGCATTGTTTTCTTTCGTGAAGGTAGCTGTTTAATAGTTGTTGGGGTACACCTCTGAAACCATAACTCTCTAGAACTTCAAGAAGCTGATCATGACTGACGGTGTCGAAAGCTTTTTTCAGATCCAATTCGTTAACACATTTTGTGATTGAGCAGTGTAGCTGGTGTTATCAATTTCAGGTAAGATACATATCTTTGATGCTGTATATTTCCTCATTCTGAGGCGGTAAGGGTATTTTTTTGGGTCTCCACAGTACTATTTTTCGCATTGAGTGAAACGTAATATAAATTTCAGTACTGATCTAAGCCAAAGTAAGTCACTCGGCATATGAGAAATATAGCTGGATCCAACCTACCAAGCTCGTGATTTCTGAACCCCATCTAAACCACCTCCGAGACGTTATGTCACAGCTTCAATGGCTGCTCGACTCTACGACCTGATAACGATATCTTTGTCTTCCGGAGTTTATCTTTAATAGTAGTAGTATGATGGGGAGGCTACAGCCAGGCAAGTAGGCCCTCATGGGCTCTTTTTGCCCACCCCTGCTCTCCACATATCTACACATCTAATTCGTCTAAGTTCTCCTGTTGTAGTTTATCTACTCCAAAAATTTTGAATCTCATCCTTCCATACGCCTCACACTCTCCGCAGTCACGGAAAGTAGGACTATCTTCTACACATATGAGTGCAACCTGTTGTTGTGTCCTGTCAGTACCTCTATCAGAAGGCGCAGAACTTGGCGATCCCTACCAAGTAACCACGCCGTCTTTAACTTGTTTGGACCGGCCAACAGGTCTCACGATTGCCTGCAGCCGCCTATACGCTTCCAATATCCTTCTAGTACGTTGTCCGCCCATTCATTGAGGAACGGACGAAGTTTGGCTTCTTGTAATGCCCAGTACATGCTCTGGTCCTCAGAACAGTGTCGCGGATCCAATTCTAGCCAGCTCGTCGGCCACCTCGTTCCCGGGCACCCCCCTGTGTCCCGGAACCCATACTAGCACGACTTCCTTAGCAGTTCAGCTAGTTTCTGACGTGGATCCACCATGCGCACGTATTCAAAACGCCCCGATAACAGGCATAGGCAAGCTTTTAGACCAAACACAACGTTGAATTTCACGCGTGCGTGTTTCTGCTCAAGTTTTTTGATTTAGAATAAACATAAGTTTGAAATGGTTTGAGTTTTGAATTATTCTGGACATTGCAGTCATCATAAACTACTCTCGGAGTTCGGAACCACAAGTGATTACGATAAGAGTATTGATTTCGATCAACTCATTGTCAATAAATCGGAAATAGAGGTAAAATACGCACGCACTTCACCCAATATACAATCACAATAATAATATCTGTGTTAATATATGTTAATATGTATAGAACTTACTTCCTCTTTGGACCACGAAAATAAAGGAAATGGTAAAACTGCATTTATCATGCGATGGGTTTTTTTTTCAAAAATTTTTTGTACTTACGTATTTTTGTCTGAAAAACACGAATTTGATAATGAAAATGTGAACAAACTATTATTTATCAAGATATTTCACTATAAAGTTACAAATGTCACCATCTTTTCCTCCTGTCTTCTGGATCGCATTTAGAACAATTTGCTTTTCTTTTGTCATCATTGGACAATTTATGTATATCACAATGTACGACCAATTTTTTTCTATTATATGAGTCAACTAGAAACATGATTTTTTTGTGATTCACCAATATTTAGTGAAAAGAAGGAAGAATATCATTTAAAATAATGGCGTGTGTAAGTAATGTCATTCAAAAGCATTAAATGGCCGTCATCTCTTATTCTTGTTCTCCATATATAGTATGATGCAAATGTGTGGAATAAATTCATTATTTCAGAAATGGGCGACATTTGAAAAAATTCCAAAAACACGTTAGTTTTCATTTTTCAAGCTTCATCTCATGATATTCATATGAGAGATGTTACGTCACCGATGTTGGAGTAATGACGTAATGGACAATTTTTTCAAATACAAACAGGGGTCATCCGACACCTCGTTTGAAAGGTCTACTGATCGTCTATTCAACAGTCAAAATTTTGCATAAGAAAATTGAGATTGAAATGGATTATCATTTGATTAACTGAATCTTGCAGAGGTCAGCTACTGAGAATTGAACAACGAAGGGTCGTCTATTTGAAGAAATACATCAATTAATAAAGTTCTGAAGTCTAGTTTTTGGATTTTTTTCGGAAGTCGTCTTGTTTTGAAATGAATTTATTCCATACATTTGCATCATACTGTATAAATGTGTCATTGAAGAATATCATGAGTATATAAAGTGTCCAATGACAAAATAAAAAGAGCAAGTAGTACCTGTAAATGCATCTAACACGAGGGGAAAAAGAAGGCGAAATTTCAAACTTTTTCTTTAAATATCTCGATAAATAGTGGTTTGTTCACATTTTCATTATCAAATTCGTGTTTTTCAGACAAAAATACATAAGTACCAAACAATTTTTCGAAAAAGAACCTGTCCCATGATAAATGCAGTTTTACCAAAATATATTTTCAGTTACAGCAATTTGTCCTAAATTTCATTCTCTAGTTCCTATCACATGCTTCATCAATTGCTAATCAATATTACCAGACACTTGGGAAATAACTCATTGATCATTATTCGATGTATGACTCGGTGATTCAAAATCGCCAAGATCCGCGATTCGAATTTACCGCCAAGGCCAAAATCGACCTGATTGGTCTAAAAGCTCATCTATGCCTGATATCGGGGCGTTTTGAATACGTGTCCACCATGCACTCACGGCGTCGAGTGGGGGTAGCCTCAGGTGAATCCAGGCACCTCTGGTTAAAAGTTTGAGGTCCCCACTCTCGTCATGGTAGCGGTACGTGTGAAAGGCCGCGAACGGACAGGGGGCAGCCCCAAGCGATCCTACCGCCAGTCATCGTAGGCAAAGTCGGGTCCTCTCCTGTAAACGAGGTAGAGGAACGTGTGAAAGTCCTCGAACGATTCTTGTCAACATGAGTAGCAATCAGGCCAAAGCTTCTTGCGACGGCGACCCATCAAACGTAACAAGAGGAATCTTGTTGACATGGGTACCTGGGGTGATGAGGATAGCCCCATCAGGTCGTACATACGGCCTGATGCCTCACCACCGGACTACGGTAGAGGAGGTGAAGAAGAATCCCACTATGGATCAAGTGGGAGGATATCTTGCCTGCCTCGGAGGGTGAGCAGCGTTTCTGCTCGGGCAATGACACTGCAGAGCCAGTAGTCTGTTTTATCAGACGGCCTCACCATTGGTATAATAAAATGGTAGCAGGAGAACATGCCGTTACATAACGGAGATGACTCTAGCGCGCTGATTTGGCGTATCCAAATGTTCCATTCCTCCCTGGGTGTGCTGTCGGTATAAGTCGAAAGATAGGTGACCGGCAGTCATCCCCTATGGGAGTCTTGTGAGAGGGGGGTGGGAATTGGTCCCACCCGGTTGCTACCCCGGCAACATTATCATTATTATTATAGTTCAGCTATAGTTTCTCAAGAGCATCGCCGCATTCCTGCACCAAAGCTGGGCTTGGTTTGGGATGGAAGATAGCCTTGAGAGCCGCCTGACTATTCGAGCAGATGTAAATCTGCTCTGGTCCCTCTTTCACCTCTTGTGTCTCTGCTACGAGTTTTTCTTCATTAATTGATGTTACAGAAGGCTGTACTTTTTGAGGATTGTTATAGGTATATAACTTATTATTATTCGCTTGGTATGAAAAAATATATTTCGCTTAGTGATGGAAAACAAAACTTTGTTGATTGTCAAATGAAATTTTTGAATGAAAAAACAACTGAAAGTTGATGAAACAGTTTTTGATATTGAGAAATACTAATGATTTCACAATTGAACTGTACACATTTCTCTATATCGTGAACTTTCTTCTAGAAGAAGTTTGGAAGTTCGTCAAGGCTTTCAGAGTACTTGGTTTGATGCCCATTTTCATCTCTGGTTTTGAAGCCATCCGTATCCACTTTATAGTCATTTCTCCGAGTTCAATACCCATGAATTCACTGTTCCATTCTTTTTCACAGCTTAGCCTAGTGGTAATTCATTTCAGCTGTACTTCATTATTTCATCCTGAGGCAGGTTCTATATATGCTGGTTGAGTGGGCAGATCGGCCTGCCCTTGATGACTCATTCTCTTATCATTCCGTGTTCGGTTCTCTTTTCCAAAATGTAACCTCACTTCCTATTCATGTAATTTTCAAGCATTCCATGTCATTTTAATAAAAGATGACAGCCAATCACGACAGTATTCCTACGAGGGAGCAATAACGGATAACTCTGCCATTGTTCACGTCTCATCATTTTGCATATAACTTGCATGATGTTATGACTTTTTAAAAATCTCAAGTAATCTCTGGTAGAAGTCCCTCATTTCTCAAAGTGGAGTACAGTAGTATATACTAAATAATACACAGAATCATCTTCATGACAGTTTGTCTTAAGCTAGTTGATGGGTATATTCTTGAGATTTGAGTGATTTACCAATAATCAAATTATCCTGGACCACTGAATCAACGATGTTAATATCTCACCTGCTGAAGGATCCAGGCCGAACGTCTTCTCTCACTTCCTCATCCTCTTCTGGCCAGTACAAATTGTACCAATCTTCGTTACGGAATGATTTCACGACAGAAGCCAGCGGACAAGATTCGTCCACATAGGTGCCGCCGCCCTCCTAAAATTTATATAATAATATAGAATAGGCAAGACATTGAACATGCTCTTCTACAGGGTCATCCATCAAAGAAGCCCACAGTGCTGACTCAGACTCAACATATCTAAGGTCGAGAGTCGACATAAATGATCCAAATGAAATAAATCTATATGAGCTTATAGTACACCGATTAGAAACTCTCAGAAGCTATCTCGAACGTTTTTGGCAATTTGCCATCATCAGGAGAGATTTCTGTAAAAAATCCATACCTATTAAGGAGACTAGACGCTTACCTGGTCATAGTTACAATTTTTTTATCCAAATATTGTAATCATCCTCATGCCATATTTTGTTATGATCAGGTTATCGAATAATATATCTTATATGCTAGCCATAGTATGATGGTAAATTGTCGAAGATGTTTGAGAAAGCCTTTAAGAATTTCAAATTCGTGTACGTGTATTATATCCTACTGAGGAAATCATCAAAATACACTATACATCAATTTCCGTACTTATATCAGATGATTTAATCCTCAAAAACAAAAGGTAGACAGCGCGAAATCATAAATCAGGAAAAAGTATATGCCAACAACGCTTAAGGGCGCGCATCACAGTGAAATAGTTCGCCCACAGACACCAGCGAAACTATAAATATATCACAGCCGTCTAGTGGCGCCATAATTATAATTTCATGTATCATTTCTACAGAATCCTTTAGATACATTTGATTCAATCAATAGGGAACCTCATCAACAGATGTCGCTGAATAATATTTGTGGCTGTACTAAGGAAACAGGTACAAAGTCACCTACAGTGTTGCCAGTATTTTATCAGAGTACGTTGCCAAATTAGTAGTAGTAGTAATAATTCAAAAGTGGAATGATATATTTCACATTATTATATTCACCAAATAGTATTCCCATCCTGTAATCTTTGACCTCACCATAGAATGAAAGTCATACGATAGTTTATATCTAACATTTATTAATTCTCCGTCACAGTGTTTGTGGCCAAACTCCTCCGAAACGGCTTGACCGATTCTTATGAAAATTTTTGTGCATCTTTGGTAGGTCTGATAATCGATCGTAAACTATTTTTTAAATTGGAAACTCAAGATGGCGAATCCAATAAGGCGAACGAGTTTTTTAATTATGATCCGATTCTATTCAAAATTTGTATTTGGGGGTTTTCTGTATCGGATATATTATTCTTATGTCAAAACTGAAAAAATAAAGATGGCGGATCCAATATGGCGGACGAGTTTTGTACTTATGATCCGATTATTTTCAAAATTGATATCTGGGGGTTTTCGGTATCGGAGATTATAATTCTTTTGTCAAAATTAGAAAAATAATTATGACAGATACAATATGGCAGAGTTGTGTAATTATGATCCGATTCTATTCAAAATTGGTATCTTGGGGTTTTTGGTGTCGAAGATCATGAGTCTTTTGACAAAATTAGGAAATCGAAGATGGCGGATTCAATATGGCGAACGAGTTTTGTACATGATCCGATTATTTTCAAAATCGGTATCTGGGAGTTTTCGGGGTCGGAGATTATGATACCTTCGTCAAAAATTAGGAAATCAAAGATGGCGGTCCAATATGGCGAACGAGTTTATTTGTATGTAACACGCTTTTATAGATAGCCAAACATGGCCAAACTAAAAAGAAGTTGAAAATAGATAGTAGCTTGAAAAACTAAACACATAGATTGTTGAACAAAAAAGAAGTAGAAAATAAATAGTAGTTTAATAAACTAAATAAACACGTTTCTATGGCCAAACAAACGTTTGCCGGGGCAGCTAGTATATTACCTATATGAATTCATATAACCTATAGAAAAGCATAATAGTTATTTATGTATCAAGGGCGTAAAGTAGGCTTTAATGGACCGCAGCGTGTAAGTAAGAGCCCGAGCGATAGGATATTAACACGCCTATGTCCATAAAAGCAAGTTACGTCCGAAATACATCCAACATTTTATGCACGATCGTTTTATACGTTTATTTATTGTCAATATGGAATTTATCCATGATTTTGAATTCATTCGGCCAAATTATGTATGCCACTGGCGAAGAAAGATCGAATGGTAGTCTACTAGAAATTACTGAAAAAACTGTGAAATTACTTTACTGCCGATCACCTACTTTACGGACCGCCGGACATACCTTACCGCCCGCTGTACTCCTAGGGCTCTAGAATGCAACTTTACGCACGCGAATTCGGGCGATAAAGTGCCACTTTACGCCCAGTCGTGCATAAAAATGATTTATTGATTAATAAAAGTGTGTTTTATCATATGACAACAAGTATTCGAACTGATAAAAGTGTCAACCTGTCAACGTTGAAAGTCACAGAAGCATAGAAGACATGAAAACAATCATATATGGGAAACACTTTTGATAATAATTCATTTCGAAACTCGGCTCGGGCGTTAAGTTTCGCTTAAAAAATAACAATAATGTACTACTTGGTCGCGGTCACACGTTTCTTTCGCTATATGTCAAAAGTTACATTATTTCAAATGAATCGCTTGAAATCGGCTTATTTGTTTTGAAAAGTTGTTTTTATTCCAATTTTACATAACTATGTGTTTCGAATTTTAGTTTTTGATACATGCAATTTCTACGAAATGCTCTGATTTTAAAAAATAATAACACCGACTAAACCATTTCATTTTAGTAGCTTTTTCATGCTAATAACGTTCAATCACTAATTTCTGACAGGGATATGATTTTCTTCAGAAAATAATAATCTACGCTTCAAATGTCTTATGTTTGATGCAAAGTTGATGTACCGTCTATCATTCGCAGGAGCGAAATTTATTTAAATCTATATTTTCAGTACTAAAATAATGCCAAAGTCATCTATCCAAATATCATCAAACAACTTTACGTATCTAAGTTCAGGACAGTTTTGTTGAATCAGAAAATATCAAGAAATGGAACGTTCAAATTCGAGACAAATGTGTAAAATTGGAATAGAAACAACTGTTCTCAGTGAACTTTTTCAAAAGTCGAACCAATAAGCGTATTTTCAGCGATTAATTTGAAAAAAATGTAACTTTTGACTGTAGCGAAAGGCACGTCGTGACTCCGACCGAGTTGCGAGTAGGCAAATTTTTTCTTGAAGCAAAAATTAACGCCCAAGTCGAATTTCAGAACAAATTATTATCAAAATGTTTTCCCATATAATGCCAACTTCATGAATGATACTGTAGAACCATAATATAAACAAAACACCTGCTTACGTCAAAAGGATCTCGCTCTGTGCGGATGACTCGAATCTACTTGGATGGTAAAGGTAAAGCCACATAATCTCTGCACAAAGCCATCGAATTTGGACTCGCGATACTCATCTCACTCCCTGAAGCCCGATTCGCCTAAATTGTTAATTGAGGTAGATCAATAAGTCGCCTGTCTGGCCTGTCGCCAAGTTCTATTTTTGCTCGCCAAAATAGGTACAGAGATGGCCCAATTGGCGAGAAATCGTCCATACTGGCAACACTGGTTACTTATCGATTTTTCTTTGAAGCCTAGTGGGAATATCGTTCGGGGAATCACACATACCGCATACCGCGACACCCGCCCGCTTCGCCAGTTGCACTGCTGCCAGCGTTCTGCTATTTTATATTATTATACTAATGTTTTTGTATATAATAACGGACTAACTCGACGTCGACCCAAGCACAGTTACAGTTCCTTCGGCCACGTTAGCTGAGGTAACGAGCTGGTTACGTCAGAGACTTCTGGCCTTATGTTCACGTGGGTAACGGCCAATCCGTCTATAAATACAATTTTTATAGTACAAAACCGTTTTTGTTTTTTAAAATATCCTATTTTGGTGAGTGTGAAAGTATTAAATAGAATTGTCACAAAAGAGATGAAAAAATCCGTGGAATTTCCCCTTATTTCCCTAGTAAAAATGAATTTAGTAATTTGTCCTTTGAACTAGAGACATTTCCATAGACCTGGCATCACTGATCACTGGTTGAAACTAAGTAGCACCAGATTTTTAGCCAATGAGAAAAGGAGGAAAGGATTGATTATTTGCTTTCATAAGAAATAATATTTAAAGTTTCATATGGGCCTACCTCAAAAGAAAATATATTGTTTATGCCTACACTAATTTCTTAATATGAATATTACCTGTCATGAGTGGATTATGTATACTTACTTCGACACCAATTTTTCAAATGGGAATTCAAGATAATCAAAACTATTTTCTACAAAAAAAGTGGTGGTTACGTTACGATTTTGACAAAATGATCATAATCTCCGACCCCGAACACCCCCAAATATGAATTTTGAATAGAATTGGTCGATAATTACAAAACTCGTCCGCCATATTGAAACCGCCATCTTAAATTTCCCAATTTTGACGAAAGATGCTGAATCTCCGACCCCGAGAACCCCCTAAAATACCAATTCTGAACAGAATCGGATCATAATTGAACAACTCGTCTGCCATATTGTATCCGCCATTTTGAATCTCCTCATTTATAATATCCGACCCCGAAAACCCCCAGATGCCAATTTTGAATAGAATCGGATTACAAAACTCGTCCGCCATATTGGATATCCGCCATCTTGAATTTTTAATTTGAAAAATCGTTTACGACTGATTCTCAGAAGAATCTGCCAAGCCTTTCGGAGGAGTTTGGCGTCAAACACCGTGACAGGGACAGGAGAATTTTATATATTACATCAATATTATGAATCAACAGAGTCAGTTATGCAATACACTCGATAGACTATAAAAAGGAAAAAAAGCGCAATTATTTACAAAAAATCGCAATGACGCAAAACTGAGTTGAAAAGCGCCTTATTGGCAACACTGTTCCCCAGACCCAGAAAGAAGAAATGAATAAAAAGAGAACTGTAATGTTTGTATTAGTTCTTGAAGGAGCGCAGCACGGTAGTTTCACTGTGTAGCCCTCTGAAAGACAATAGCTGAACTACTCTGCCACTGTCGAAACCTTGCTAACAATATGGCGATATTGAAAATAGATGCAGAAACGTCAAAATTAATTTGACGCACAATACATTCCCAAACGACAATGTTCCAGAAGCTTATTATTTCATCAAAAATTCATTGAATTGCTGACTTAGGGTATGCCAGGTTTTTATTCGATTCTGTTACACAAACGTTGTCGATGTTATTGTTTTTCATTACCATATATTTTTTTACACAAATCGAATTTCGCTGGAAAATTTCTTCATACCCTATTCTCAACCCTCGTCTTTAATATGTACCACCCACTTTTGCGCTTACACTTATAGTTTATTAATGATTTGGTACCAAACTGACCTCTGCATGGCAGTTTTGACTGATGCGCCCTCTTAACGCCAAACATGGATGAATGAATGAAATTGTGACTGGTGGGGATAACTATAAGGAATCATTGCCAGTGAATTGATATATTTATCTAACATATTGCGATTTCTATAAATGTGTATTATGTGCATGATATTTTCAAAATTTTCAACAAGCTTTTCATCAACAAAAGTAGGCTCTCAAACTAGAACGTCACTGGACCAAATTTCTATATACCAGTGAAATGTCAGGGTAGGATATTTTTTGTAAGTAACTTTTCTTCACAGATTTGACACTGCCAAACCATACATATTCACAAAATAGTCTGCCCTATATTTATAATACAGTACTAGTCTCGAGATCATACCCGTGTGTTCACCGAACACGCCCGATCGTTACCTAAGCGGTGGGGAGACGTAAACAGGTAGCTTCTCTCATTCAGTTGGGATGAATAATGTGAGGAGTGGGAGTAACTACTTTATGAATATTGACGCGTGCCAGAATTATTTTGGAGTCAAATTTGTCAATCTAATGGAAACACTCCTGTATTTTACGTAATTGTTGAGTTATTAGGATTCTGAAATTTACAAGAGCCATAGGTTTAGAATATAGATATAGGTACCTACCAAAAATAAACCCTTTGACCAAGTGAAGACATCTTCAATGATATATACACTGCTCAGTGATTGTATCTTTCTTGCTGATGTGAATAGAATACTTACGTAAGATACGGGGGTGCTTTCATGTAAATTGAAACATAATTTGATTTTTCAGAACTGAACATTTCTCAGGAACAATATGAATAGTCAGTGAATTGGACGTCCCGATTTCGAATCCGAAGTGATTTTCAACAATCTTGCCTCCTAATATCATTTTCCGGAAATGTTGGCGGGTCCATGACCCGAGCAGTGTATTTCACTGAAGATTACCTCACTTTGGTCATAGTTGGTATATATATCTATCGGTCCTGAAAATTGAACAATTACGTTTGATATACGGGTTGATTCCATTAGAAGTGACATGCACACTGTTTATATTTTTAAATACATCCAGTGGGATTGAATTTTATTTCATGTTGAATATTAGAGTGTGTTTTTTTTGTGATATATTTGTTCTGTTTATTTCAAATATATATATATATTTTTAGTAGGCATACTAGTACTTCTTTTATATAATTCTGAAATCTGATCCACCCTGTATTTGTTTCAATTAAATGGCATCAGTAGATAGTAAATAGAATGTTAGGATAGGGACACATGTAAGCCATTTTGACAAATCAATATAGGTATTGTATAGTTTCGATACAAAAAAATCTCGATTTTTCACATTCTACGTATAGGTATACCTTGAGCTTGATCAACGAAATCATAGCTCAATTAGAAGAATCGAAAAATGTAATAAAATATAAGGTGTTTCATTTTGAATAACAAAGCTGCTACTACTACTACTACTACTGCTACTAACTACCAATAATAATTTCTAGTGAAGCAGATGAACATTATCGAAAATAATTTGAATAAAACGAGCATCCAAACATAAGCATATAATATGTACATATTGTTTCATGATTTTCGATGAGTGGTTCGCTATTTATACATGTAGGACTCGTCGTGACATAGCGAATTATTGCAAATCAAATCATCGCTCTCATTATCTGATAGGTCGCAGTAGATCACTTGATGCCTATCAAATGTTTCTTATTTATTCGAAAAAAAAAAAAGTTGCAATGTGATCAAGAAAACTGTTGGTGGCCCACCCCGTACTACAAAAACAGAGACAGCATGAGAGAAGCTGCCTGCCCACTCATTGTATCATCATTGTATCATAGCTACCTGCTTACGTCTCGGTCTCCCCATCGCTTAGGTAACGATCGGGCGTGTTCGGTGAACACACGGGTATGATCTCGAGACTCTGCAAGACAATACAGTCCTTTTTCCTCGAACCTACCCAGGCAAACCAGGTTGACTTTATTATGACGTCTTGACGTCACGGTAGCTTTATTAAGACATCACGGTTTATTTGTGGAGCTTGAAAGATGTCAATTTGTCAGTTGTTGATGTTGTTGTTACTTATATATTGGTAATTTCCATTTCCTGTTTGGTGTTAGTATTCATACCTATATTGAATAAGAAATTCATCATTTGTAACAAAAATATACTCTATCTCTTTAGTCATAAATCAATTATTTCTTTTTCGTCAATAATATGAGAAGACCTTTCATTCACAAATACAATTATAACAACAACAACAACAACAACAACAACAACAACAACAACAACAACAACAACAACAACAACAACAACAAGAGTGCGAAACAAGAGCCCAATCCAGTGACGAATCAGAAGCCTTAACTAACCCCATAAACTAACTACCTCAGTGAGCTCGTTTATGTTTGGTTCGTTAACTAGTCATAGTTTGGAATACAATTATTGTTGATCCGGTTTGTGTGGTTAACTTCGAAGAGAAATGACTAATAGTAAACGAGTTACTGAAACAACGAAAACTAATCAAACACAATCCGGAAACCAGTAGTAACAATGAAAACAACAAATGACATTTCTAACAGCGATTATTGCTCGTCTACTACGAAAATTTACGTTACCGCCACGTTTATAGAATAACTGATAAGTTTATGATTATTGTATATTATAATTTTATAAAAGTTGTTCCATTTTGTTGTCATTAGCTATTTATGCCGAAATGAAGAAAAAGTTTCATCCTCTTGAATAGTCGATTTGGCAGCGGATCTGCACGGGTGCTTATAGAATGTGATGTTTTGGACAAAGGAAATAAGCAAAATGAATCTCGATTTTTACTAGTTAATCTGAGGTTTCATATCATGTACTCACAATGCATCTATTGATTCTGACAAAAGTTCTTCTCCTTGTCATTAGAAATAGCTTGGGCCTCGCTGCCTTGTCCTGTAAAAAAAATCATAGACACATGAAAAAATTCCACTTTATTCACTTGTCGACATATCTAAGAATACGGATATGATATAAAATTTCTATTATACAGGGTGATTCAGGTTTTGAGGAACAAACTGAAATGGATGATAGATCTCATCATTTTCATCTAAAAAGTGTGTTTGAATGTGTCCGATCTCGATCAGTAGCGGAGATACAGGGGGGCAAAGTTAAATTATTTTTCTATTGATTGATTTATCTCGCTCACTTCTGAAGATATCAATTTGAAATTTGGTGTGGTCAATACTTTCTAGAAGATCATCATACGAAGCATTTCAGAGATTTTTAAAATCCACAGGGTGAGTCGTTTTTGAGGGTAAAGGCTTCTTTATTCCGCCCAAACTTTTTCGTAATACTCCTCTGACATCTTCCAGTTACCAAGTAGGAAGGATCGTTCAATAAGACTTTATCTGCATCTCAACTTTTTTGGAGAAACGCACCGTTTTAGAGATAAATAAGCATATCCGTGCAATAACATGTTAATTTTGCCTATTATGATTCGCTTAATGCAATAAAATGTGCCAAATTCAAATCTGAATCAGTAGCGGGGATACAGAGGGTAGAAGATCAGGTTGCTTTCAACCGACCAATCCAACGACGATGCGAAAACTTCGTGGTTACTGGTACTGGTGGGGGACGTTTCCACGTCAGCAACTAGTCCCCAATGGGACCTTTTTGAAAACCCCAAGTGTTTTCAATGACTGTTGTGGTTCGCTCAAGAGAGCTGGCTAACATCCTTTTCAGGCACCGCCCATCAGCTCTCTTTTCAGAGTTTTTCAGCTGTGTTTTGTAGGCTAGTAATGTACTCGCTACCATATGCGCAGTGGCAGGCCTGCTAACTATCATCGTTAACCCCCGAGACCGAGGTCTACTTAAGCAGCTGGCCCGCTCTCACGCTCAGCTGGTAGTTTTCCACACTCACCTACATACACCGTCCTACTTCTTCTCTGATGCTCACAACCACATCATCATATCTTTCTGCGTGTTCTGTGTAGGCTTTGTTACTAACTCCATGCGCCACCTTAGGAGCAGCACTGTTAATTGGAACGCAACAGCGAATCGTGCAGGACTATCCCCAGCCGATGCTCCGAAACTTTACAATATTTAATTCGTAAATAAAATATTGAAAAAAGTTCCTTGCCACTGGTTAAGCCCCATCCAGTTGTACCCATATTCCTTAGCCAATATTTATTTCAATATCATTTGAAAAAAAAAATCAAATAGCATTCAACTTGTCCGAAAAAATCTTCTTGCGGAATGTGATTATGTCTTTTGCGTATTCCATTATTGTTAACTGATTTTGTACAAGAATAAAATTCAAGTGAAAAATATAGATAAAATCAACATGTTTTAGAACGGATATGCTTATACATCTCGATAACGGTTCGTTTCTGGGAAAAATTGAGAAGCAAAAAAAGCGTCTAAATTGGACGATCCACCGTATTTGGTAACTGGAAAATGATTAAGAAAAGAATGACCAACACAAGGTAGAAAAAGACAAAACGACAAAAAACTGATATATCATATTCGACCCAAAAAGGGAACGAATTATTTCGTCGTCAACTCAAGAATTACGGCGAATTGAAATACGGCCTGTTCTAAGTTAAGGAGCACCATTGCCAATTGTGCAAAATAGTATCATTTTCCATGATGTTCACGGTGGTGAACACATAAAATAATTGACTTTAGCGTTCTCAAAATATAATATCTGATCATAAAACAAAATTGTATCCATGGCTTTGCTAACCAAAGTTTGAAATCACAGTGAATTGGATATTCAGGTGGCAATATAACTTTGTGGACTTGCCTTAAACACTTTCAAACAGTCTGACTTGTAATGTAATTTACTGAGATACTTGACAACATTCTAGTCAGCCACTTAAAAAAACGTATCTAGCTCGTCACACTTTTCTGGATGAAAAAAACAAGAATACAATTTTTTTCAAAACATTGAAGTTAATTCAACAGACATAACCTTTGACACTTACGTGTTTTTAGCCCTATAACCACGCTGTTCATTCGGGAATATTTTATTAGCTCTTGATAAGTTTATTTTGCAAAGGTACAATGTTTGTACAATTTCACGGCAAAAATGGTCTGCAGTTGCTGTGGCTCACTCTCCCTCTTAGTGAGCAGAATTACAACAAAATACAACTTTGGTTGTAACCGCCAACTCCACCATCAAGGGAAGATGGGTAAGTGCTATACTCACTCGTTTGAAAAAATTGTTTTTGATTTCGAACTTCAAGGCTTGAGTACCTTCTCATTTTCAAAGTTCAAAAAAGCATTTTGGGAACGTGAAAGTTAATTCGGTAGTCTTCAGCTACACCATCGAAAATGGCACTAGTTTGAACATTTCCTGAGTAATTCAATAACAGTAATCAATAACGGATTTGGAAATGGTACGGACTGAATTTGAAAATGGTACGGACTGAATTGTTTAGAACATGCTGTAAAACGAATATTCGGAAGTTTTCGGAATGTTTCCGCAAGCATTGAAATAATCGCAAAGTCAAAAGCTTCCATTGAATATTTATTGGCTAACCTTCAATTTTTTCGCCTTTTCCACTGTATTTGGAGGACTCTTAGAGATGATGACTGGAGGTTGTGGCGACGCTGCCACTCTGATCTCAGGCCCTTCTGCCACCACAATATCTGCAGGTGCCTTCTCTGGAAGCGCGTCTCTAGGAGCTGCTAAAAACAATTGGTTCACCAATATTTTTTCAAATTCAAATGTTTTAGAAAATCACATATCAACACTTTGAAATTGTAAATCAACTCCTCTGAGTCAACACTTGTGCTGGGTTAGGAAGAGCGGTCCCAACAGCTTATAGCGCAGTGGTAATATGGTATTACCTCCTTCCTCAAGGGAGGATAGGATTTCAAGATAGGAATTTCAAGAAATGGAAGCATGTGCACATGTGAATTTATGGAAATGATGACCGAATTTTTTCTGTTTGCTAAATTGGAAGTAACCTAATAATTTTCAGAGACCCTTCCAATTGGATTTTTTTTCGAATAATGAAATAAAATATTTTTTCGTTGTTGGAAAATTAATTCATGATAATTTTCGAGCCTAGAACAATTTCTCTGTGATTGGAATATGGAGAGAAAGGTAGTATCTGAAACTTTCGAAAATTTTTCAATATTTCTACTCCCAAACCCCTCCCGGTTTCGCTGGAAATAACCATAACAAACGAAATTTCATATTTCCAAATTTTAGGATGCTGAAGACCATGCTGATTTTTGTATTTAGTTACATCTGTGGTAAACGCATCATTTAAACCTGTATGAGGAGTGTTTTCCATGTTGTTCTCTGATCATTTAGGTGCATTTTACAGGTTGAAGTCATCTATCTAATGCGCACATTTGGTAAAATCAAGAATGCTTATTCTATTTTCGAAATTCTGTGACTGATGTACTTACGAGTCGTCTCCAGAATGTGTAAAATATGGAAACATACAAAATATTCTAGATGGAAAGTTTGAAATAATGAACATTTTTTGAACTTCCAGCTTCAACAACCCTGCTGAGATTGGATCCTTGACCATGTATGACAATAATATAAAGCTTGTCCAGAAAATAATCATACCTTATCACGAACGGGCAATGAGACCATAAGCTGAGACGAAAGCGAAGTCTGTCTTTGGGTACTTTTTCATCTTCCCACTTTTGGCGACGTAAAACTACATTCAGTTAACAACCACTATAGTTGTAATGTTGAAAGTACCTATTATATCCAATTTTCGATCGTACAAAAAAGGCGAATTCTTGAAAAACTTTGCTTATTGAAGTGAAACCCACTTTTTTGTCGATCTCTATAAAAAATTAGCTTTTACATTCTAATTTCCGAACGAAAAACCGACTATTTCAGAAGGCAAGTACTTTTCGTCCATAAACACTTTTCGTCCGCTGCAGGGTTGCCGGTTCTACTGAATTTTCAGTAGATCTCCTGATTTGCATATTGATCTACTGATCTACTAAAACATTTCATAACCTACTGAAAAATATTCTGACATTCATTATTATAATTACCTTTATTATTATTGATCTTTAGTTAATCACATACACTTATAAATTGCATGTTATTTAGGCACGCCCTGTTTATATTAATTTCACAAAATAAGTAATAAACTTACATACAGGTACCAATTATATGTAAAAACCTTCTTTTCACGTTTGATTTTTTTATTTGTGTTGTATTTTTGTTGTTCATTTTTACAATTCGTTCCTGTTTTTTACCTACGGCCACGACAGAAACTAGGCAAGAACACACGAGATACAGCCTCAGTAAGTAACTCTTTACGCACAGTAAGCACATCGCACAGTTTTCGTTTATTCCGCTAGTATAGGTATGTCATGATCGCGTAATCGCCGTCAACAGCGGATGACATGACTGTCAAAGAATTATAATTCACACTGTTTGTTCAAACTTTTTTGATGTACTATATGGCAGTAGGTGAAGTATAGTACGTAATGCGTGTTGTAAAGCAATTACTCACTCATGGAATTACGCACTCGCCGCTCCGCGAATAAGGAGAGGAGGTAGGTATTGAATTTTTTTAAACTTGGGATCATAAGTTCTTGGGAATACTTCCTTTGGCAAAGAATTCCAAAGCTTTGCCGGTCCAAAGAATTAATGAGTGTGGCATAACCCACCAGGCGTGGGTGATGATTCCCCGATATTGGCGAAGAAACAAAAAATGAACTTACCAGATGGAACAGCTTCATGAATTCCCGCCTCTGTTATGTTTCTAATTCCATCCACTTCCATGGGGACAGGAATTTCCGAAAGCACCCTGGCAGCTTCAATTTCAGTTGGTTCACGTAGTGATTCCAAAAATTGACCTAAAATAGAAATTGCATGGGCTTTCAGATAAGTATACTAATATTCAGATTTCACACAACGTGGATACGTTTATTTGTCGAGATACCAGACAACTGTTTCGCTCTACCAGAGCTCATCAGTTGTACTTGGTCTCTAAGTCAAAGATCTTACAATATATTCTCTACTAGATTCGCTCTTGCAATGCCCAACAAAAACACATAATATAGTTTCACTCAACATTCAGCTGGTAGCTGTTCGTTGCCTCTCTATCATTTGTCGAGATCATTGGTTGATTCTCTACATCTTCACATGAAAAATTCGAATCGTATAAAAATAACTTGCAATATCAGAGTCACAATACAATCAGCATGATGGCTAAATTTTTTACCCAACCAGCGGACTTCGTTGTGCCTTTTGTCTCACTCTTATGTTGTCGTAAATTCCTTTCTATCTAGGCACTCCTAGGAGTTTAATAAAAATAGATCATTGATCATTGTGATAAGAATACTATCATTCGCAAATTTATGGACGATTGTCACTTTCTGCGTGGATTTTATGACAAATTTTGTTTGAACGTTTATTGGTTGCTTATTCTCTGACACGCAGAAAAAGGGGGACATACCTTGAAAAATGCATCATTAAATTGAATTTCATTGATTTCTAGTGTGTTGCTGATTCAAGGAATCCTCTGAAGAGGTAACAGATATGGAAACATGAATGAGGACCTTATTTATTCCATGTAATGCTTAAAACAAGAAGGTCCAGACAGAAATTGTCGCGAGGCCCACTCAGTGTTCAAATACCAAAACAAGACTATTTAGCTGTACTATTACCTGTCGTCCATCAGGTCTGACACACTCTCAGGCAAAACATCTAGTACATGATCTTTCAGCTATACATCCCTACTTATCATAATACTATACCTTCTTTCGAAATCCCACGAAATAACATTGACCCCCAAACTATTTTTCATCGCTATCCAAAATCCGCACTGGGTCTACACTTTTCAAATGAGGAGTGTGAATAATAATAATAATAATGATTATTAATTTTATCAACAGTAATATAAAGATATAGTGAATATAGTTATATGGGTCATAAATTCATACTGTCAAAAAGCAGGATTCAATGTCTTACCAAGTTGTAGACAAGGTAGGAGCTTGCTCTTCCATCCAACCAGAAAAAAAACAAAAAAATCAAATTTCAAGAGGAGTTGAGATTACAAAAATTGTAGAGGAAAATCTAGAAAATTAATAATGATGATTAATACCGAAAATGAACTCCAAAAAGAGATTAGGCAGTTTGTTTTCGAGCAGAAGATGTTTCAATTTGAATTTGAAACCAATAACAGAGAGTGATTTTAGGGAAGTCGGTAACCTATTGTACAGCCAAACAATATAGAATGTGAAGGAACCGCGAAAGAGGGACGTTTTGTGATTTGGAGGTGTAAGCTGGTGTTTAAATCGCGAGTTCAAGTCGTGGACATCAGTTCTGAAATTGATTTTGTCAAGAAGATAACTCGGTTTCATAGTTCTGATTATTTTATGGAAAAGTGTACATGCATGAAATATGCGACGTGTTTCCATATTCATCCAACCTAGTGTTTTCAAATGGTGCGAAATATGATCTCGTCTTCTTGCACCAGTAACGAGTCTAATACATTCTGTAGAAAATGGAATCTGTGTTTGCAAAATTAGCATGCGACAATACAAGAGCATCGCATAGTATTTTCTTAGATATTACATTCAGCACATCTGTATTAGAGCTAATTAATATTAGATTACAATAACCGCGTCTGAGAATATTTTACGTGTGGTGTGAAAATCCAAGATAGTGATCGAGTAGCAGACCAAGTTTTCTTTTATTTGAGAGGAAGTTGCGAATTTTCAAGAGAAATTTCAATGTTATCGACCTGCCGTTTCCTCATGACAGCTCTGCCAAAGAGCATACTTCAGAGGATTAGCTTTCAGACAATGTTTATTGGAAGTCTTCATCAAAGCTTCCAGGTCTCCGTCGATTTAATACAGGGTGGTTGATAATTCTGAATTTTGAACTACCCTTTATTGGTCCAAATTAAATATCAGTAGATAGTGAACCAAAAGTTGAGATGGGGACATGTGAACCGTTCTGACCAATAATTAATAGTTTTGACACAAAAAAATCCTAATGTTAAAAATCTCTAGATTTTGAACACCATATATCTCTGTAATCACTCCCGCTAGATCTCGAGTGTGATGTATTGATAGAATCAGCTCACAAAGGAGAATCCGAAAATGCAATAAAATACAAGGTGTCCTATAATAAAAAGTATAACTTTGATGCGCCACGCATATTTGAGTCACCCTGTATACGCAAAGTAATTTAAAAATATGCTGCTCATGAACATAGACCATCACAACAATTTTTATTCACCTATCTCAAACAGCGAAGCCGTTATTTCAATTTCCCATTTCAATGACTCACCCTGTATAAACTTTTTTCGTGCAATCGTACGCGAAGAAATTGCTTCGCGTTCTCTACACAATACGCGAACTAAAACTTCGCAGCCAGCAACGGTCGCCAAACCAAAGCCTACCTCCGAATTTGACATTCCTAAACTACGACAATTGATCATTCTAGAACACGTGATTTTGACATGGTTTCTTGAGTGGCACACAAACTATCTGTTAGGTTACCTTTAATGAGCATTGCTCTGACCGTCCCTGTCACATCCACAATATAATAACAGTTTCACCAAATAGAATTATGAAATTCTTTCTGGTTCCAACTCGGATTCCAAGGAAAACGATCCCACTAATTCTGGTTTTGTATGACAAATCTTGACAAACTACAATGTTTGCCCCTCAGCAACCTGTCAAATGACGCAATTCTGGAATGATTAATAGCAAGGTTATTCAGTGTCAGATCATATTTTTGTTGTGTCACGAAAAATAGTGTGTATACCATGGCCGCGAAACTTTTTGGCAACCTCAAGATTATCTTGCCTTGGCCGGAAACGGCCTTGGCCGGAAACGGCCTTGGCGATAACTTTTTTTTCAGCCGAACAAAAAGTTATTTTCCGGCCTATAAACATACAATAGCTATTTGTGTATTGAGAGCGCAAAGTGATAGATTGCCGCTCGACAAAGAAAGTTACCGCGCGATGCGGAGCGGAGCGCGGTAATCTTTGGAGAGCGGCAATAACACTTTGTGCTCGAAATACACACAAGATTTTTTCTACTAACGCAGCTTTTGGAAATAACTGCCCTGAAAGTATGAGCGATTGAAATAGTAAGTTCTTATCCATATTATCCCATATGTCCAAAGGAAACAAAAAAAAAGAATTGAAATAACTGACAAGCCAGAAAAAAAATGTCGGGCCTACCGAGAATTGAAACTGGACCACCAGCGTGGCAACCTGAGCTTCAGACCTCTGAGCCATAGTACGATAAACTCTGCAATCAAATTGAACATTACTCATTGATGCAATAAAATAAAGATACACTGTCTTCCTGATGACAACAAAGAGTTTAAATATAAAGTATAATTCATCGTTTTCAACAGATATGCTTCATCGGGAGCTCCTTGTAGAAATTTGTTGGTATATATCTTCAGTGGTGAATGTTTTGGATTTTTCTCGCTTTATATCCAATAGATTGTTTCTTGAGAAATGCGATGAGTTTCAGATACTTATTGATTCCGATATTACTTTTAACATTCAAGCATGATGTATACGTACCATATCGAATATATAGACCAATGAGTTGATGACTTCAAAGTCTTTGATTTTTTACCAAAATAAACCAGTAAAACGTTTTCTGAATACATATTCACCATCTCGGAGTGGCACCAATTTATGAATGTATCATATTGTAATTCATATTTCTTCCTTGATTTCTCCGGTAAGAGATTCAAACTTTTGCGCTTTCTGTTATATCAGGAGGTGTGTTTGATGATTCACTGTCACTATTGTCCATCATGAAAGAATGAGGGGTTTTCAAGAATAGGTAAGTATAGGTTACAGAGACGTGCGAGCGTTTTTTCAATATTTCCGCTCACGAGCGCAAATGCTGTCAAAGAATGACATTTCTGGGAAAACGTCAACTTTGTGCTGGAATTTGAAAGCGTCAAAGGCTACTTTGTTATGCGTTTGTAGAAAAATAACTGTTTTACTATTTTTATTCCGAGAATCTGAAATTGCGATCTTTCTCTGTAATTTCGGGACCCCCTGTACTATATTGGTTTCAAGTGATATCTCCGGAACTATGTAAGAATCCAAGATAGTTGAGCTGAGGCATCCAATTTGTTTTTTGTTTGAGAAATGCAACATTTTGATGCGATGTTTGGATTATTTGATTTATCAAAGTTCAAAATGTCGGTACCTTTCTCAGCATGGACAAGGGCAACAACCTCAACCACTTGAGGGGGAAGCAGTTCGGAGGAAGGGGTTTCAGGAGTAACGGGTGGAACAACAGGTTCTTTATGGGCTCTGGAAATCAATCAAAGGTGTTAGTGGGGAACACATTTAAATCTTTGGTATCAACATTGAAACGACTTTTTGCTTAATATAGGTACCGTCTGTAACAGTAATCACCGTTCACTTTACTCATGAAGATAAATAACAGTAACGTTGAGAGCAACATCATTTGCATGGGAATACAGCTGCGGGAAGGAAGGCATCTTGATGATTTTTAGACTGAGCTTTATTCATGCAGAGAGATGAAAACAACTCAACACTCACGGTATCATGTTTCTGGCAACTGAAAAAAAGAAAACAACGATACTTCTTACCTGGGAAATAGAGACAGCATTTCCTTTTCTAATTCTGCCCCAGTTAATATTCCGAAATCCTCCTCATCTCGTACGAAAGTGTCCTGAAATTTAATGAACGAGGATTATTCTACGTTCACTTGACGCCAAAGAAATGACACTTTTTCAATCTTGGCTGTAGATCATGAGAAATCACTCTTCAATGTTATAGAGTGTTATATGCTGATTTTTGAATTTACAACGCGATATTATAAAGAATGCCTCACTGCGATGTTTGATTCAAATTTCTACAGAAAAACAATTCGATGTTTGATTCAAATTTCTACAGAAAAACAATTCGATGTTTGATTCAAATTTCTACAGAAAAACAATTCGAGAAGAATATCCTGCTATCAGAAATAATAAACAAAATTTTAGAACTTCAACACATTATGAATCAGCAGCAGCAAAAATAACTAAATTTATGCATAAACAATACTTGAGAGTTGCTTACGGAACAAATTACTTGTTGGGAAGGTTTCTCAAGAATAATGAAGGCAGAACTTCCAAATTTGAAAAATCAGGGTTATAGAAACTGAACTGTGGATCGGGTCTCAAAGAATATATTGGCCAGGCAGGTTAAATAAAAGTTTAATCGCCGCATTCACTAACAACATGATTTTTTTTAAATCAACAAATTCAACATACGTGGACCATATAATGAAAGAAAATCATAGTTAGGAAATAAATCGGAATGACAGTCATTTCCCACGAGTATACTAAACCTTTCTCAGTTGTATTTCAGAAAACGTCAATTGTATTTCAGAATAATCATTTGTATTTCAGAAAGCATCAATTGAATTTCAGAAGGCGTCAATTGTATTTCAGAATAGTCACTTGTATTTCAGAAAGCGTCAATTGTATTTCAGTATAGTCAATTGTATTTCAGAATGCGTCAATTGAATTTAAGAAAAGATGATTCAATTTCAGAAAGCGTCTATCTTACTTCATAAAAGTCAATTTAGTTCCAGAAAGCGTCAATTGTATTTCAGAATAGTCAATTGAATTTCAGAAAGTGGCACTTTCTGAAATACGAATAATTATCCTGAAATTCAATTGATCCTCACTATATAGAAGAAGCTATGTTAGCGAAATAATTCTGTGGGAATCACAGGAGAATTAAGTTAGCATTTGACATAAATGCAACTTGCATCTACACCTTTTTCAGTTGTATTTCAGAAAGCGTCCTTTGTATTTTGAAATGTTACTTTCTGAAATACAAATGACACGTTCTAAAATTCAATTGACTATTCTGAAATACAATTGGCGCTTTCTGAAATTGAATTGACTATACCGAAATACAATTGACGCAACTCTACTTACAATCCGTTTAGGAGCTTTCTGAAATACAAATAATTGCCCTGAAATTCAATTGATCCTCACTATATAGAAGAAGCTACTAGGTTAGCGATTAGGAAGGGCTGGCCGGCATTATGTCCCTCGCCAGAATTTAAGCCATATTTTATACGAAAGAACGAGATAACTATCGAGCAAGACTGTTAATAATTATCCTGAAATTCAATTGATCCTCACTATATAGAAGAAGCTACTAGGTTAGCAAAATAATTCTGTGGGAATCACAGGAGAGATCAGTCAAAGAACTATGTTAGCATTTGACATAAATGCAACTTGCATCTTTCAGTTGTATCTCAGAAAGCGTCAATTGAATTTCAGAAAGCGTCAACTGTTTTTCAGAATAGTCAATTGTATTTCAGAATATTTAATGGAATTTCAGAAAAGTTAATGGAATTTCAAAAAGCGTCCTTTGTATTTTGAAATGTTATTTTCTGAAATACAAGTGACATGTTCTGAAATTCAATTGACTATTCTGAAATACAATTGGCGCTTTCTGAAATTGAATTGACTATACTGAAATACAATTGACGCAACTCTACTTACAATCCGTTTAGGAGCTTCCTCTCTCAAAGAAATCATGTCGCTGGTGGTCGGTAGAACTTGAAGGATGTCGGCAACGTCCGGGATGTACAACATGCCAGCCACAGTCTCCGGTTCGGCTGCGGCGGCCTCGGCGATAGCGATAGGCGTCGCGACGGCCTGTTTCTTGCCTCGAGGAGCCTTTTTCACTTTTATCGACGGCGTCGGAGGCGTTTCCAGAATACCTGATACTAATTATCGGGGATGGGAGAATTGAGATGATGGAATTTGAAATAAATCAGCATTAGGAGATATTTATTCAAGTTAGTGATTTCTGTCACTGCACAATTCCGAGTCAAATGTAATTAGATATCAATCAATTATTGATCAAACTCATTCGAAGATTCTACAGATTTAACCCATTAGCGCCGGAATTATTAATTCTTTTTTTCCTGATATTTTATGACCATTAACTAGTATGAAATGCTTTCAAAAGACGAGAAGAGTTGAAAGAATCATAAATGGAATTCAGGTTTTCCAAAAATCTGCTGTTGCCATATGGCAACACTAGGCGCTTGTGACTCATGTTTTGGAATATCAACACAAATACCTCTATTACATTTTGAACATGGTCATTGTCAAAATCCAGCTATTCTGCATGGCTACGTCCAATATTCAAGTGATTAGGGGCCCGTGCGAATAATTCCTATGCGGTAATAACTAATATTTTGATTTATTTGATCAGTTTCGCCCATATACAAATAGTACCACTTGATAACTTTCAGAAACAACGCATACCACCTGGTTTCTTCTGACAAGTGCTGAATACCTTCCTCGTTTCTCGCTCAGTCATCCAATTATTTGACCCATCACATATAGAAATGGAAGTATTATCAGAATAATTCTAAAGAGAAGATTGTCCGGCCAATGGTTCAACATCCATTGGCTCGGATGGAGAGTCACCACATTGGCTGAGTATAAGCGCCTAGCGTTCCAATGAAAAAAACATAGCTTTGATGTGCTGTGACCTTACGGAACACCCTGTGTATTTCAAAGAAATTTTGAAATGTGAAGCTGGATCATTAATTCAATTTTGATACATGACTTTTTTTGTATCTCTCAAGACAACAGAGAAATCGAACTCTGGAGTCTTAGTTGGCCACCCTGTACATAACCTCTTCTTTAGCGAATCATGTGGGCTGTCTCCCACCCTAATAACTAAAAATTTGAGTTTCTGAGAATTATTTGAATCTTTATCCGACTAACGTTGCCATTTGGCAACGCACGGCGCTAATGGGTTAAGGACACTTGAAATGAATTATTGTGAATTTATAGTAACTCAGTAAATGTAAAAACTTCACAAACGATAATATTTCTACAAAATCCTTAATTAGACGACATGGTTGGCTAACACAGTAGCTTCTTCAGGTGAAATACTGGTACAATAAACTAAACTTACATTGACTCGCCTAACTTTTATATCCTACTTTCCCAACCTAAAGGATTAAGATACCTGTGGAAAGGTATGATAAACCTTCATTTTCGGAAAGCAGGAAAATTGAAGGGTTGATTACAAAAATCACCTACAAGGAAAACAAATTCAACAGCGGTTTATTCACAAGGTCTAGTTGATCGTTAAGTAAAATGTTTGTTTTCACATTTACTATGGATTTCAATCAAGTAACAGCCGAGTCAATTCAAAAAGTTATTTAGTACATCAAATTATCTACAAAGTGGTGTACTCAGAGTGATTCAGCATTAATTTCTCACAGTCGAATTTTCACCATAAACATGTATGTTGCTTGGGATCAACAAAATGTTATTATTATAATTACATCATATACTGGAATATTTCAATACAGCAATATATTGTGAAGCTACATAGATTATTCTGGGGGCAGTTTTGAATGATTATTTAAAGTTTGGATAGAAATAATATAATAGTTTAATTTCGGAATTCTTACCTTCTCCTGGATAAATAGGCATTGAGCTGAAAACAGAACAAAACTTTATATGCAACCATAAAACAAAAACAGAAAAACAAAACTGAGAGTGAAAGATATTTTTCATTTTCCTCACCTCATGCCACTTGGAACACGAATTGTCTGTAGAGCAGTAAGAACTTCAGCTGAAAATGAAATATTTTTCCACATGAAGGTATATCTACTTATACAATCTATAGAATATATGCAGTTCACTAAACTTTCAACCATAGCGGAGGTGTTTTTGGAGAATTGAAGATAGATAGATATCACAAGCTTTTATTTAGTTTCACCTAACGGTGTCTGACACACTTCTAATCCACCGATTGGTTTGAAATTTGGAATCTGTACATAATTTTGATGACAATGAATCATGTAATTTTTGTTAAAGAATAAAAAATACAAAATGGCACCTCCAAAATTGCGGATGAGTTATGTAATTATGATCCGATTCTATTCAATTTGGTATGTGGGGGTTTTTGGGGTCGACAATTATGATTCTTCTGTTAAAATTGAAAAATTCAAGATGGCGGCTCCTATATGGTGGACGTCGAGTTTTATAATTATGATCTGATTCTATTCAAGATTTGTATCTGGTGGTTTTCGGTATCGGAGATTATGATTCTTTCGTCAAAATGGGGAAATTCATGATGGCTGATCCAATATGGCGAACGAGATTTTTAATTATGTTCCAATTCTATTCAAAATTGGTATGTGGGGGTAGTTTCACCAGTACCGGTGCCTGTCTGTGAGGGTGAGAGTTGTGTGTAGTGCCTTTTTATAAAAGCTTGTATTTAAAAATGTTTTTCATAAAAGCTTGTGTATAAAAATGTTTTGTAATCATACTATAGTTAGGTCAAAATACAACAACAATTAAATGGAACAAAAAATTGTCATATTGTTGACGGACTTTATTATGAGATTCATGGGGAGTGGAGAAGAGAATGGAACAAAAAATTGTCAGTTGGTGGAATTTATGAGATTTAAGGACTCTAATTATTTGGTGATTTTTAGGTGATTTGAAGTAGGAATAGTATATATAGTACATAAAAATATCAATAATATACCTATAGTAAGGACAAATCCGATGATATGCCCCAAAATTTTACTGTGCTCAAAATTTCACTACTAGGAACCTAAAAGAACCTAAATTGATAATCAGTGAGACCTTCTTAGAAATATATTTGAAGAAGAAAAATATGAAATTCCACTTTAGACGTTTCGTAAACCAATCTACTCCCGTTTTCAAACTAAAGAAGGAAAATAATTCTTGTGATCGATATTTTCGTATTTATCTTTGGTGACAGAAGTTGACTGAAAAATGTGTGAGTTATAGGGTGTTTTTTATTAATCTTGAATAGTAGATAACAACCAAAAACCAAAAATGAAAGAATTCACTGCATTATTCTGAAATCTGACTCTGAATATGTTGAATTCAAGATCAACACAAAATATGTTGTAACTCACATATTATTCAGTAAGAACATGATGAACAGTTCAAGCACATAGAACAATTCCCCATTTTTATTTTATTTTACAATGTACCTATATTCTTCTCCAAACATCTTCCAAACAAGGTGTCACCGACTATTGAATAAATTCATCTTTCAGGTTTCTGGTAGTTAATAAATAATAATAGATAATAATAGGTCAATCTTAGAAGGAAATGAAGAATCAAGGTCATCAACTAAAAGGAAAACAGATTCCCAGATTAAATTCCACCGAGGGTAAACGTTATAACTTTCGTAATACCCAAAGTACTAATGCATCAAAATATTCAGTGAGTAATAAAATTGCTGAGCTGAATATATTCTTTGCATGATTTTTTCTGTGTGTCTGAACATTGGATAAAAAGTGAAAATATGGAATACTGTGTCCTCAAAGATTTTAAATTGATGTCTAATTTCAGTCGTTCTATTCATAAAAATGGTGGCATTGCCAACTTTGTTAGAGAACATCATCAAGGCAATTTGTTTGTTGGATGAATATAAGCATTTAGCCATTGAACAAATTTTCGAATTTAGCATGATTAAAATAACTAAAATATGCATCATAAATTTATATAGTTCTCCATCTGCGGATTTTATTGTATTTCTGAATAACTTAGAGGTTTAATCTGTGGATTATAGTAAGAAAGTGGTACTGGAATGAAATTAACGTTTCTAGATCCCTGCGTGTATGACCGTGAAGAGCTCTGCTCTGTAATTTTTCTTGGTTACATTTTAATAGCAACTGTCAAATAAATCCTGTTGTATAGAAAAGCCATTGAATTTTGGTTGGTGATAAGTGGATCCATCAATTTTTGTATATTTTGGACTCTAGGATTTTCGTAACTTGGTGTACTGTTTTGTGGACATTGTGAGTCAATGGTAAGAGAATACCAAAATGAACGTTATCATCTTATATATCACTATCATACATTTCAGTGCATAAAAAATGGCCAGAAAACTTCTCACTGACGATGAGCTATTGCAAATCATCGAAGAAGGTTTATCAGATATTGAATGTATTGAGCGCAGACGATGATGAAGCTGATTTGGAAGATGGTCGATACTACACTTATGAGTATTCAAACTGGTTACTACATAATATATGATACGATTATTGTAATACGTCCATGTAAATAACGAAATATTTTTTCTGCAAACTCTATGATTAATAATAGTTTTCTAATGTAGATAGTGGGTGAATTGAGTAAACCTGATTGTTGAATGTTGACAAACGTGTCCCCACTTTTAAAACTGTTCTCGTCTACTTTATCGGAGAATTAGACAGTTTTGTCCTCTGTTATACGATTATTATAAGTATTCATTGATAGTACTCATAGGTCATCCGTAGTCAATATCTAACAAGAAGTAAAAATGGCTCAGTTGGTAAGATCGCGGCTTCGTAATCCAAAGGTGGCCAGTTCGAACGCGGCGACCGGTCACTTCTTTTTTTAATTTTAGGTCCGTCGGTATACAGACATTGGTCCGGCCGTCGGCCAGAGTGACCTATTGACGTCTGACCGACGTCGTCTGCCGCTCTTTTGCCGCGTCGGCAACTTCTGACAAGCAGGTTTTGGGCCGACGTAATAACGACCGAAAATGTTTGCTGGGCAGTCTCTTTTGTATGGTTGAAATATATTAAGCTTTCAGTAAAATTTATATGTTCCCTGAATCGCAAAGATTATGCAGGAGTAGTAAACTCTAAAACTAGAGGATTGTTCATCTATATCTTGATATAGTTGAATCAGGAATTACATATGGAAATTACGTATGATACGCCAGTGACCTCAATATAACCTAAAAAACACGAATGTCAAAAATCTAGTGTTTATCCCCAGAATTGAATAAGGATGGAACTATATAATTGTTTCACAAACACTTTAGAGTGAGAAGAGACGAGGATCTGTCCGTACCCTGTTATGATGACTTCCATCAAGGGACCCTACACAAACCTACTTCATACAATAACTGAGATATTCCGTAGGCAATACTTACACTTACGTAGCCACCCGGTATAGTGCATAGTGCCCATTTTGTAAAATATACCATCGTTCAGCATTTTCTCACAAGCTGTCAGTGAGGAAGGGATTACTCTAACGTAAGATGAGGGTTTGTTTGCTATCTCAGAAATGATTCTCCGGCAGTATCGATGTTCTATGTTGATGGTGGATAGGTGATTGCTGATCGAATCGTCAATGATAGATTGTTCTACACCAGAAATTACAGTTTCATAGGATGTTTGGTTTTTTGTTGAGTTTGTTTCTCTGGCCTTCGACTTTGGGGTTGTTTCAGTGAAATCTGCTATAAGATATTTTCTCTTGAAATATTGTATCGGTGGTTTCGGGGAATCTGATTTCAGGAGAAATTTGAGGTGAGGATGTTTGGAGTTTGGTTTTTCATTTTCCCAAATGTCCGACATTTCCAGCATATTCATGTTTGCTTCATTTACATTTATCTAGAATATTATTGTAGGTTTGAATTTTTCCTGAATAATTAGCGTCTTTGTTGGCGAAATTTCTTGTGGGTATTCCATGGCTACCTGTACTTGTATGACTGTTTGTGTTATCTTCTATTTTGTTGGTACTTTCGTTTTTGTTTAGATCGGTTTTTTCTTTTTCTTTGTTGTCGGATGTTTTCAAAGGTGGACTGTTTGGGCCTTGTATTGAGGTTTCTCCTATGATAATGTTATGGATTTCATTCCTAGTAAGTCTCTTTTTCTATATCTTCCTTGCTTCCCAGTAAGAAACTTCCATAGCTTCGTCATCGTCATAATCGGGAATTTTATATACTTTTTTGAACTGATAATCTTTATCGCTATAACTGCTAGTAGTAGTTTAAGAACTAAAAAAACATGCACGCTTTTATAGATAGCCAAACTGAAAAGAAGAAGAAAATAAAATAATGAGTGTGTTAATGAATACACAACATAGAATATCCTACTGATTACGGATTATTTCCTACTTCTTTTTATGTGTTTTTTTAGTTTTTGACCTACTATTCATTTTCTATTATTCTATATTTTTTGTAAGTACCGCCCCGCAGTAGAAGTGTGGAATTTGCGAGCCTATTGCCTTCCTTGAATTATGTAACCCTTGATCAGGCTCCCTCTCCGGAATATTTATTTCATATGAGTACTTGGTGCAAGACACTACCGTCTCTCTGGATGTAACTATATTTTTTTAAATCATATAAGAGTATACTTTATGCTGAATGTAAAAACCGCTCATCCTGAGGATCTTGATCAGGATAATGAAAGAAAACTATTAAATTATGCTATCATCATAGGTCCTTGACAAATGCGCGAAATTTCAATTTAATTCGGCGTTTTGAAGTGGGTCGAAATCACCCGTGTCCTTGGATATGTAACTATTCATTCGAGTACTTGGTGTAAGACACTACCGTTTCTCTGGATATAAAAAAAGGATTGTGAAGTTATTCGAAGGAAAAGCGAACATTCGAAAATAATAATAATTGAGGAGCTTTATTGGATACCCAAAAGGCCACCGACCGAGGTCCTTCAGCCTGTATTATACATTGAGTTTAATTCATCATCATCATTGTATGTACAAGATATATGGAATTATAAAATTTGCTGGTGAAAAAAAGAGAAAAAAAAAGTAAAGTCTATTGTGATGCAAGAATTTTGAAGGAATTTCAGTCTTCTGAATTGATTGAGCATTCCAATAGTGTGTTTTCCGGAAACTCTCGTCTTGGGTTCGCTATTGGATCTCTCTGTAAACACTGGAATTGGATAATTTGAAGATTGAATTCGTTTTGGAAAACTTCAAGGTTAACTTTTTCAGTCTCTCATAAATTGGTTGCACCCTGGTCAGCCGATATAGAAGTTCGTTTGATGGATGGTGAAGGGGATTTTGAGGGTGTCGGATTTTGGTAATGGCTCTCAGGCTAGCTCTTTTTGCTACTTCCCAATTGTTCAGTGCCGTCCTCGGTGCCGTCTTCCTCGTGTTTATGTATACTGGGTGAGCATACTCAAGACTTGGGCGGCAAATGGTTTTGTAAATATGTGCTGCAGTTCTTCTGCTAATTCCTTTATTCTTGTAAGTTAGATTTCGAAAATGTTTAGCTCTTCTGATGTACTTTTTTTTTTCATCAACTAGGTATGATGGTTAAAGTTTAGTTTTTGATGTGAGTGCACTCCCAGATATTTAACTAATGCCTTAGTTTTCATTACATGATTGTTCACAGTTACCGTGGGTGAATCATCTGATATTTTTTTATTGAAGAGTATCAGTTGGGATTTTTCTTGGTTTTGTTTTAGCCTCCACTTGTCACACGATCTCATAGTGTTTCGAATTGTGTTTTGTAACTCTTCAACTGCTTTCTCAAGTGATTTATGATGATTTATAATGGCTGTATCATCAGCATATTGTATGTCATAGATGCATGTAATTTGATTTTGTAGGTTTTAATTGTTCCAATTAAATATGTCGAAACAGTATATATTGTAGAGAAATGGAGACAAGGGTGAGCCCTGAGGGAGTCCTTGATGCGGGTGGAAAATTATTGATTGTGCCTGTTGTACTTTTATTTGCAGGGACCGTTTGTCTAGGTAATCCTTTATCAAGTGTATTATATGTTTTGGGGCAGTTTAAAATACATAATTTTTAAAGTATTCCTCTGTGCCACACGCTGTCAAAAGCTTTGTTGATGTCAAGAAAGATATCTGCACTACGAAATCCAGAAAGTTTGCTTGTTTGTATATCTGATACGAGGACTGAAATTGGGTGAATGGTTTCACATTTGTGTTGAAATCCATACTGGTGAGTAGGGATACCATTCCCTATGTGTTCTTCAGTCAGCACCTTACGAACATTCGAAATTTCGGTAAAGGAACATTTTGAAAATTTGGTGGAAGAACATCATTTACTGTTATTCACAAAAAATCCCTCGTCTTGAAGATCCTGATCAGGATTTTGGAACGAAACCTATTAAAGTATGCTATTGTCATTGGTTCCTGTTAAGTGTGCAAAGTGTCAACTCAATTTGATGTTTTGAAGTGGGTCAAAATCACGTTCGAAGATTCCATTTACATACAAACATACATACCAAGCTAATATAAGAGTGTTGAAAAGCGTCTGTCGTCCGGTTCGTTTACCGGTGAACTGTCTGGTGGTGACATTTTAAGCACTGTGGCATTTTGGGGCGAATCATCTGATTTGTCTTTACCAGAAGTATATTGATATGATATTAAAATATTTTCATTTATAGAGATGAGGAGACAAATTCCCGGAAATTTTGAGAATGATTTCCTAATATAGTCCGACCACGATAACTTTGGGACAGCACGTGGTCGCATATGCATTGAATATGCATATGCGTTGCGTCACATGCTGTCCCAAAGTTAACGTGGTCGGACTCTATCAAATTTTCCAAAATGAAACATGTATTTGCATATCTATAAATTTATAATAAATTGTTGATGAAATCTTACCTTGGAAAAGTATAACTTTTTCTCTGAATATTTTAATAGTTCCATTCAGTAATATAGCCGAGAGCCGTAAGGAAAAACGTTTCTTGGGGTCAGTTGAACTGGTTGTGATGAAATCTGCAAGCTGTTTGCTGGAATGGAAAATGAAAAAAAATATATTGTTTTTATAAAAAAAACATATTGGAACCATTTTCTGCAAAATGAACTGATTTGCACAAGGTTGTTAAAAGAAAATAAATTGAATTCTAGTTCACAAATAAATCAATTGATATCTGACGACAGTTTCAAATTAGAAAAGTCGGCGACCTTTCCCTTTTCTATAGATACTTCCACGGGAAATGTTCTTCAGAAATCTCTGTGATCATTTAATCTTCAGCAATACCTATGGATAATGAAACATTAGATGTGAGAAACAATATTTCAATGTCAAAGTTTTTATGCAATAATTTTTATGCACACTATACCAATTATTACAATTTCAGTTTTCTTTATTAAACACTAATAAACTCTCTTTTTTAAATGCTATATAACATTTCTTGAAGTTGGTAATGCAGCCTCCAATACATATTGAAATACAAAACAGGAAAAAACTTCAAATTTCTGTTTTCTATTTAGTTTTAATCAACATAATCTCCATATGCTACTTTTCATACTCATATATTGGTAGGTTATGATATTGAATTTTTTCTATGAGTCTAGAATAATTATTGGAACTGCAAAATCTGATGCAACAAAATGTTCAATTTTATAATGCTCCTACAAGTTAGGAGAGGAATACAATAGTTATTCATTATTGTGATAGAGGAAAAAAATAATGAAAATTGACATTTTATAACCTGAGATGAAATTTTCCTGTCACAGAAAAAAATAGTTATTTTTGTATCTAGAGCGCGAAATGCTACTTTGGTGATCAAGATCTGATTTATTTAACGAGGCGTAGCCGAGTTAAAGAAATAGTGGAGAGTGGAGATGACCAAAGTATTTCGCGCTCGTGTTGCAAACAACATTTTTTCTACAAACGTCAAAAAATATAGTTGTAAAGTAAAAATATGCTCAGCTTGATATAAAAAATAGTGTTGAACTGGCTTAGAAGGCTCCCCCCTATCCTCCCTAGGTACGCACGATGTTCCACCAACATAATAGGAATTCCCTTTCGTGCGCTCCAAGAGATGAAACAAAGTTGTTGGCGAACATTCAGAAAAAAATCACTTCGTGGATGTTTGCTCGATTGAGGACCATAAAGTTGAAATATAAATATCTCACATATTTTACATAACAATGCGCGAAGTAGGTACTTCGCGCACTGTTTTACTTCGCGCATTGTTTTGTGCAATGTATATTGCAACGTAGATAGCTGAAAAAAAGTGTTACTTCGCAATTTGTTATCAATGCGCGAACCTTGTCATTTTTTGACGTTTGTAGAAAAAAGTATTTTTTTATAAAATCGCAATTATGAGTAGATTGTGGGTTGAAAGTACGATTGTGATACATTGTTAGAAAGGTAATTTTATACTAAATCGTAATTTACAAAAAAAAACACTTTGTATTTGAAATAAAAAAATTGGATGGTCAAACCGGAAGTGTCATATTTGGACTAATACTAGAAAAATTATACACTCATGACGGCGAAATAGCGCAGTTGTCGGAGATGATTCAGCACGATTCGCTGTTGCGTTCCAATCAACAGTGCTGCTCCTATTGTGACGTATGGAGTTAGTGACAAAACCTACAAAGAACACACATGGGCTGAAGGACCTCTCATAAGGTCGATGGCCAGTTGGTATGTACGTACATACCAAGGAAGTACATATACTACTACTATATACACTCATGAAATGAAATCAGTGTACCAAATTTTACACATCCATTCAAAATAGCAACGAAGATACCACGGGGGGGGGGGTGTAAATTGGTTCCAGGTCACCCAGTATATTTATAGTTAGTATTGTAAACACATTTCCCTGTACATTTTTTCTTAAAGTTTGAGAAATGAATGAACCTTCAAAAGTTTAAATGAACACTGGTCAGGGTTATAAATGGTTTGTTACTTTCAACTACTATGTATATTATGTACAATAGGTATAGATAGACAGATAGATACTTTGACAAAGTGGGGATATTAGAACATCCATAATAATTATCATATAGATAAAAGTATAAAAACCAACATAAACAAACCTTGCAAATACACTGAATACAATTGGATCACAATATAAATAGTAAAGCATCATAAATCTATAAATGACATATAAATAATATGCATCACTGTCATTATAAGTATAAATAGAATTGAAAAAAGATTGAATAATAATAAAACATCAAAAATACTATATAAATACACAGTATGTGAGATTTCAAATAGCAACATCACCCACATTCTGATTTGGAATCTTTTGACTGATTTTCAAAAACGAAAATTTGATAATTATAATAAACATACATGGTGTTTATCAAGTACTCGTACTAAAGGGTTGATCTGTGACTAATTTCAAGATAAAAGGTTCATATGAACATGGGTCCACAAAGGCTTGGTTTTAGATATACTGTGGGCGTCCAAAAAAATATATTTTATTTGATTTTTTCATCATATTTTCGTTATAATTTGACGAAACTCTGGGTGTTGATGACTGGACGGCGCCATATTATAGTGTTGTACCTGGATATAATTAACCATAAATATTTTGTGTCACACTCTATATTATTTGTGACTAAGCTATCCATTCAATTTTGCATACAAAAGGTATGATTAGTATTTGTGAATTGGAAAAGCAATAATATTAAAATTTGCCATCAAACAACTAACACCCCTTGAGGTATTGCATTAAAATTTTGTGTGGAGGTATTTCAGCTTTTCCTGAATTGAATAGGCCATCCACTCTTCTAAAAATATAATGTCTAATAGTCATTTTTGAAATTTTGTCCCATTTATCAAAGACTATAGTAGTCTTTGAGAATTTCAATATCTCAGATTTATTCACATTTTCAAAGAGATGTCATCGAATTTTGGTTTACAAAAATCAGTGAATGAATTTCAAATTAGGAAGGTGTTGTTAGTTCAAATCTCATATTTGCACACATTATGATATACATATATGCATTAGTGCATGAGTATGATAAACTTCAGCAGGTGATTCCTTGTGATATTTTAGAAAATACAGTTTATATATGTGTCCTAACTTGCTTTAATTTCCAGATACATGGTATCAATATTTTGATGGAAATCTATCTTTTTGATCATTAGGTACTGAAATAATGTCTCTATGAATTTCAATGAAACTTGGTGGTTTTGTTAGTAGAGTAACATGGACCTTTTTTTGGCATAATTATATTCAAAATATTTCCAGTGGCATCAGTGTGGGTTATATTTATGGTGAATTCCATATTTTATTACATCAAACAATAATTAATGAAATAACAACTTTCTAATCCCTTGTGTTACTTTTGTATCTTGCTTGGTTTTTTAGGAAACTAGGCATAAAAATTCAATTTGACTCCAAATTGTAATGTAGGTGCTCTCAAAACATCCATATATTGAGATTACTCAATAACCTTAATAAGAATCATTTTGAAATTTTGGAACTTTTTCAGTCTTCATCCATAATTAATTTTGGCACCATAAAGGGAGGCTCGCAGGGGGGTTATAAATGAAATCAATTTCTATAATTCCAACTTCAACATCCTGTATCTCAAATTTGAAGCAAGATAGGACACATGTTAATATAAACTTCATTTCCTGAAATATCACAAGGAATCACCCCCTGAAGTTTGTTTTTCACCAACACCCTGTTTTAATAGGAAATATATATATATGGATGTCAAGGAATAATAATTTTATTGCCAGCCCACTCTTATATTTGTTATCAAGATGAAATAAAGAAAGTGAACTTGAACCCACCATAATTTTGGAATATCCAACTCCTTGATCTGCCCCTTGGGAATGAACCTTACACCCCTGGTTGCAGCAATCCAAGCATGAGAAAAGTTTCCCTTGTGTTGAGGATTTAGTATGACTATATCGAAAAACATTCTGTATCACTCTATGAGACCACCTTTATAGAAGAGAGTTGTAGGTATACACTGCAATTGAAAAATTATTAGTTGAATGAATCATGAATTTTCATTGAATAAAACTAACAAGTTACATACCAAATATTGATCTACCAATGCTGAATCCACTCGTCTTTTCGCCAAGATAGTTACCCAGATCAATTTTTCTTATTTGAATTATGAAAATTCTTTTACTGTGTGTAAAATCAGGTATTCCCGCAAAAACAAATGTTTCAAATGTTTGAGAGGATAGAGGTGAGTTAAAATTGTGATTGACTGATTGATTGACTTATGACATGACGCCGGCTGCTGCACATGAAAAAATGTAGAAGCGTCTGGAGAAAGTACGCAACAAATAAAGCGCGTGGTGGGGGAACGTTACAGCGCGTTACAGCTAGGGAAAAGTGACTAACGTGCAGCGCGGGGCGGGCAGACTGGATTGAGACTGGATATCCCTTCTTCATACTACAATCAAAGAATAGTACCTCTTTGCTACAATTTTCAAGCAACCAGATGTCACATTGAGAAGCGTGTCCACAGTGCATACACCACGAGAGATGGGTTCCCATCCATCTGAGGGTCGCCTTCTTTTGTTCGGTAAAACTGCATTTATCATGACAGTTGACACATTTTAGTGTTGTTTTTTGTTTTTGTTTTGATTTGATAGAAAACAATTAATATTGAGGATTTTTTAGATTCTTGATAGATATTTTAGAAGAAAGAATCAGTGTTAATCAATAAAGTCGAATTAGCCTTTTCTGATTCTCAAGATACATGATGACTGACACACATCAAAATCCGTGTTTCCATCAATGTGTTGTATAAACCATTGTTCAATCCTTCCAGCATAAATTCCAACAGAACAATTGGTCACGACAAAAAACCGCATCTATCAGTGCGCACTTTCTTCGATGGAATGAAAAACACGCCCATTGGACCGAAGGCGTTACCTGGCGTTACCTATCTAAGCGAATCAATGAACTCAATACAACTTGAGTTCATTGAAGCGAATACATACTTTAACCTCACTTTTATCACATGAAATCACATTTATTTTTTATTGCGCTTTGTTCTTGTGTTGTACTTCGTGAAAATCATGGACAATTCGAATAAAGAATTCTCTTTTCCTTGGAAGATGATTCGCATCTAGCAAGGGAAGTTGTAGGCCATAATCCCTACAATGATGGAAGTAAGATATGGTGCGCGTATTCGGCCATTATTACGTATTGAAAATTTCAGAAAAATCACTCGACCGGCCTACTATGATTTCTCTACGTCACAACGAGCGAGACGTTGATTCTACATTTTCCCGTTAGATGTAATTCTGCTATTGCTGCTGTGACGAGTGGAAATGAGATGGCAAATGCAATTTTAGGTACGCGGAACATTATGTAACAGTGGGATTAAACAACTCTGAATTCGAAAAATCTGCGACAATTTCAAAACTGACAGAAGTCATAATTGTGCAATGTCGCCATCTATTAGAAGATCACCGGAACCATTGCTCTCGCTGCTCTCGAGAGGTCGAGTAAAATTTCTGAAACAAAAGCGCACTTTCATCATTATCCCTACGAAGACACGGGCCGTTGGAACCTCATCCAAATGAATATAATGTAAATTACTGGAAAACTTATATCTTCCTGGTATTCCTAGGGCTCTAGCTAATCATGGAATGTCATTTTTAGCAAATCGAAATAGATTTTTACATTCTATTTCAAATAAATTGTTTAAATTGATATATCTCTATATCATCGATTACCTAAATTGTCGTTCTCATTCAGTACATGAAGGATGAACATATCATCTAGGTCATCGTCACTATTAGCATCGCTATCATTTGTAGCTTCGAATATCAAAAACTTTTCCATTTTGCAACGAAGGGTTTGCATCAGCAACAAAACTGGAACAATATCTGAGCAAGCGAAGACTAACAAATCAAAATAACCGAATGGAAAAGAAAAATAGGGTAAAATCATCCTGGTCTTGTATCTTGTATGTACGTACCATACGGTAGCTTTAACGCTACTTTTCATTGAGTACGTACGTATTTCTATTCACGTTTACGTCCATACGTAATTGCAAGTTTTTGTATTGGCTTTAGCTCACTATTATGAACGCATGTGCATTCGCTCGTAGAAAAACTCGTAGAATTATTAACGAGATCCTCGGGGTCTCGAAAGAAAGGTAAAACATTCTTGAAAGCCTCTGACCAAACTCGGCCCCCGAAAGGGGGCCCTTGAAGATGATATTTCTTGAGTATCTCCGAAACTCCATGTAATAAAAAAATGCCATTTGGTACAAGAACTGAAATTTCTATGCCCGATGCGGTGTAAATAAAATCATTTCAAAATTGCAATCAGGAGTGTATAATACAGGGTGGGACTATATTAAATATTGCTCCAAATTTTTCGTTTGCATATTTTTCGACAAATTAATCTCGGATTATGAAATTTCCCACCTCTTTACTGAAAAAAGGTACTCGATCTTGTTCCGTGACGATCAGATGTATTGTTATCGAGTTAAAGCAATTTAAGAATATTGTTTCATCTCAGATAATATGCATACCATTGCAATAAGGCATTGTGGAAATGGAAAAAAATGCACAAAAATTGAAGTAGTTTTTCTGATCAATGCGGAACAAGAGCACTTATTTTTGTGAAATGGTGTAGATTTTCATAATCCAAGACTAAATTTCAATTGTCAAAAAGGCATGGAAAGTTTAATAGTAAATATTCAAGAAATATCATCTTCAGGAGCCCCCTTTTAGGGGGCCTTAGCTCCCTTAGGAGACATTTCTCGACTCATGTTCAATAGAACTTTTCTTCCTATTTTTGGTGAAAGAAGCTGCTGGTAAAGTTTGGCACGCTAATTTCGGGACACCCTGTATAATAGAGTTCTGAGTTGAAAAACTCGCTGCTCTGCTGCTTTGAAATTAAAAGATCTTGTCAAAGTTAAAGCTATTGATTCCATTTCATGAGTGAAAATGGCTCATTTTAATTTTGAAGTTTAAATTATTTTTTCAATAATGAATATGTACCTGCTTTGATCTCATAGTACTTGAATATGGATTACAAATTTGTTTTGCGCATTTATTTTGAAATTTATTGGGAAAGGAAATAATCCATATAGCAACACCGCTGGATTGGGCCATCCTGTCATTGACGGTTAAATATCTAGACTATGCTCATGAACCACAGTTTAGATATCTAGCCGCCATTGATCCTGTTTGTTTTATAAACGTACTTGTCTCCAAAACATATCTAGTACGGTTTATTCTGAATCTAGCACGGATTTTCGAAAAGTTCTAGTACTATTTTTTATCTCCTTGGAACAACCCTGCGCCTGACAGTTTCGAAATTCGAAAGGAGTTGATCAAAATCAAAAACAAAATAAATAAGTCCCAAAAACCACAAATTTCGAAACAGTCAATAGTATTTTAACTTTGTCTAGTCATATTTATCGCATTATTGGAATGAAAATGGTTCTTGTGCGTCCAGAGAATACCCAGAACTCAAATGCCATTGAAGGTCAGCATGCTGCTGTGAAAGTAAAAACACCAAAAAGGGTGTTGCATTTTTGTGATGGAACTTTAGAGGAATATAGTACAGATGAGGAAGATTACACACCCAAACAGGATTCAGTAGTAGATCCAGTATGTATTTTGAATCTAGCTTTTAATCATAAAAGAGGACAGTAGCTTATGAGACAGGCTGGGGCTCCTGTTCAGAACACCCATGATTGAGTCTCCCCTCCTACCATCTACATGTACTATAATGTCTTGCTAATATGGTAGCTTCTTCAAGTGAAATATGCTCAGAAATACTCCTACAATGAGAGAATTTTAAAAATGCTATAATTGAATGAAATCCATAATCATTATCTTAGTTCATAACTTTTATAATATCTGGGCATATTGTTCTAATCAATAGTAGAAATAAATAATTTCATACCAACACCAGCATAAATCATTCCTTATCAATAAAATAACAGTTTTCTACTAGGTATAATATTTGAAGGGGCAAGTGGATGAAGGGGCCAAGTAACATTTTCTGAAAATATTTGGTTATGTCATGGAAGAAGGTTTTACATGCATATGTAACTTGCCCTGTCAGGATTTGTTTCTATTCTTCATATCTGAGTAGATACACAGTGGCAGAAGGGGCTATGTTACACTAAACATCAAGAACACAATGGAAGAAGGAGCTATGTGCCCATTATGTACATGTCAGGAAGTGGAAAAAGGGGTTATGTACACATGAATCATATGTATATAAAAAAATGATATGATAGAAAAAAGTGATAAATCATAAAAAAAAACAACCTGAAACTATTCCTCACAATTGCTTAAATTGAATTATTAAACTTGCTTTCATTAAAAAATGCCAGCTTATGCTACTAAAACCTATTTTTCTCACAAACTCATATTTGTAACATAACTCCTTCATCCACTTGCCCCTTCATTTGACAATAGGATGTTCCTCACTTTCCCTTTGGAAGTGTCTAATTTGGTCCACCTTTTTCATGCATTCAATATTATGGTGATTCCCTCATGTGTGGTCCCAGACAGAAAAAAAACCTCTGATCAATTTTTTGCATAAATTCTCATGACTTCTGAAAGAATAACTGAAATTATATGAATTCAATGATAAAATATATGCAAAAAATTGTACCAACATCACTGTGCAAATGCAATGTAAGTTATTCCAATTAGGTAGTTTAAATTGAAAGAACCCTATTTGGTTGATAAGAATATAACCTAGTCTGTCTTTGATCTCCAAGGTGTGGACTCACCTAATTTTTACAGAAAAAAAAATCATATCATCTTTTATATTGTACAGTTCATATAGCTGAACTCAAATCAAAACGTCAAGCCCAGGAATGAAACTGCAAGTGAAATGTCTATGAAGCAAAAAAATTGTGGATTTGATTGAAATACAACTGGTTGGAGAGTTATGAAAAAGGGTTATATAACTCACAATCTTAATCTGATATCAACAAATTAGAGGGGTGTTCTATTTCAAAAATGGAATATCAGAGTATAGGTTTCATTCATATTATCATTGAATATTCCTCCACACCTTGACTGTTGCAGACAATATTCAATTAATCCACTTTTTGAAACTTTAAATGTAATGAATACCTACAATAGGTAATCCATACTCTGTAGATCCTGAACAAATATAATGTTGACTTTTTTCAGGCAACTTTAACTTGGGGTCCTTGGCTTTCATACAAGGCTTGGTCTGCTGGTTCTTCAACACTCTCTGTAATGGATACTGTTGGGGAATTCATGGCTTCATTGTTTGGTATCACCACACCTAGGTATGACCTTTTCCATTGGCGATCTAAATGAAGAACCTAGTCAATTATCATTCAATGTGAAATACAAATCTATGTGGGTATTCACCTACTGGGTTCCTCATTTAGATCTACAGTATCAAGTTGACTCAAAAGTAAACTTATGTTTATAGATATTATTTCGAATTAGAAGAATATAAAAGAAGAGAGGAAATGAGGCTCAAACAACAGGATGAGGAACAAGGATGGTCCAAGCCATCTTCAGCCTCAGTACCACTGAAAGACATGAGTGGAAAAAATAGACCAGTTGATGTTTAACTTGGTTAGTAAACAAATAAAATGAAATTCAAAATATTACACATGCTTTAATGGAAACACAGTTTTAAATCTACCTTTTTAATTCATCTTACAAGCATTCAACTTTCATGTAATCCTTTTCTTCACTTTGATCCTACCAGTCCAGTTGACCCCCTCTAATATGTCCTATTCTGTGATTCATTTCTTTAAGTTCCTTATAATTTCATGCCCTTTTTGCACTCTCATTTGGATACCTATTAATGAAAATTTGCAGCAAGATGGCCAATGGTCTTCAAGTTCACTGAAACATTTTCTAAATCTATTTGATTTCCATTATTATTTGTTTTTCATGGTCAGTCTCCAAATATTCCAAGAGTGCCAATGAGGGTATTTTTTTATCCTGATATTTAACTCCTTCACAAAAATGTTGGCAGTAAATTCTTTGCAAAGAATTATGTTTTTTCACACAAGTGAAGGACATAAGGTATACATTCCAAGCAATTCAAGTTATGATTTTGAACTTCTTCAGGGAGATACTAATAAACCCTCATTTGAGGGAGGAAAGTGGTAGAATACCAGTACAAGTACAGGGCTAGTTTTATTAATGTGAACCCCTCTTAATCTTTTTTATTTTCCACCCATCACAAAGAATTTGATACAGATTTTATGCAATTATTTTTCATATAGGTTCCAATCATAGTGACAGTGTTGCAATATCTCTTAAAATATACGGGGAATTCAGAAAATGTATGTACTTTTTAAATGGAATGCGCTGTATATTTTGATAGATATGAATCCCTTTTATAATATATTTGAAATCAGGATGAATTGAGGAATCCAAATCTATCAAAATATACAGTGCATTCCATTTGAAAAAAATGTATTTTTCTGTAAACCCTGTATATTTGAAGAGATTTTGCATCATTGTCAATATGAGTGAAATCTGTATGAAAATTTGTATAAAATCCGCAATAATTTTTTTTGATTGAGTGTGAAACAAAAAAGATAAAGGGGGGTTCACATTAGGAAAACTAGCCCTGTACAAGAGTAGGTACTGTTCATTATTTTCTTGATTATTTAATTTTTTTCACTCCTGAGGTTCATAAAATGATACATGAACTAAAGTTCTTCTCAAGTCCCTTAGTGAGTTTTTGCTGAACTAGATATTATTTGGATGCTCCATCACTACCTGACTTAGTGAGCTCAAAAGCTATGAACCTGAAAAGGATTACATTCTAATGATAATCCAGGTTACTTCTCCCAAAACATGAAGATCTAGACAGGGAGAAAATAGTTTAGAAAAGAGAAACAAAAGAGAAAATAAGAGTCAAGTTTTTCCCATGAAGACTTTTATTATCAATAATATAATTGACCTGTAAACACTGAATTCAAACAAAGAAACAGTTTGTGATTGTCCAAAGGCATGGACCAAAGAGGGAAGAACTTAACAATAATCAAAACAGGCTGGCGAGGAATATAATGGAAATTATGAATTGAAAAAATTGAACAGAATGGGCAATCTCTGAACAACAGATAGCAAATACCAAAATATCAAAATTGGACCAAATTTTGCCTGGAAAAATGTTGCTGTGTTCAAGGAAATATTTCTAGATGACTATGTAAGTTTTAACAATTTGAAATAATATGAATAATGTAAAAACCATTAGAGCTAGACAATTTGAAAAAGAGTATATTTTTCATGTGAAATTGAGAGGGCTTTCAGATTTTCAACTTATTTCAATCATTATTCAATGGACAAAGAGATTTGATGTAATTTACTAAAGTAACAGAGTGCCACTATAACATCCTCTATGAGCAATTACTAAGTTAGAAATTCGTATTTATGTTAAAAAACCTGAAACTACAAAAATTTTATATTTATGCTGTTGAAACTTGAAAAGTTATTGAGAAATTTCGAAATAAAATCGTCCCCTTGAATACCCTTTATCTCTCTAAACAACAACCTTTTTCATCAGTAATGTTGGGCCAAATCTTTATATTTTGATGTTTACTATCTGTATTTCAGAGATTGCCCAGTCCCAATAAAATCACCCTGTATAATTATCTGATTTCTTTCAAATGAGAAAAAAAAGAGATCTCTTGAAGCCCTACCATAATCTTACAATTCCTGAAAATTTTAATGAGTGGTATCATGATCTGCTGACGTCTTCTGCAAGAGTACCCAAACCTGTGATTGAATAGTGGTTGAGAATAATATATTTTTCTCATTATGTACAATTTGAAAAAAACATAATATTCTCCATAAAATTGATTTAATTTGAATTGTTACTGTTGCTTGGGTCCATATACATCATCAGAACGTATCGACACAGACCGTCGATTAGTAGGAATTTATTTGACTAGAATAGTAAGAAATCAGAATAGCAAATCATCAGAACCATATTTCAGCGACTGCAATATGTACAACCCGTAATTTGTCGAACCGTACTTTGACAGACTGCATTATGTCAGAATGCATAAATCACAATAGTATATCGAAAGACTGCCATATATTCAGAAGTGTACTTTGCCAAACCAGTAAATAAAATACTCTTCATGTCGTCAGAATCATAAAAATATATAATCGTAAAGTCATAGAACCGTAAAAGCACAGACTGTAATTCAGCGACCCGTACTCTGTAGACCACCATTTCATCAGAATGAACATTCCCGACCAGCAAACTGGCAGAAATGTGATGTACAGAATCTGAAAATGGCAAAATGCGAAAAGTTCATACCCGTAAAAAGACAGACTGTCGATTTTTGATACCCGTAAAATGAAAGATCCGTACAATGACAGACTCGTAAAAGCACAGACTGCCAATACTCTAGATCCGTAAAATGCAAGAACCGTACATCGACAGACTCATAATCCATCGGACTACTGGAATCTCCGATCCATAATCCATCAGAACCGTAAAACGACAGACCCGTAAAACAGCAGAATCGTAAAATGACAGACTCGTACAATGGCAGAATCGTGCAGCTAAAATACCCGTAAATTTTCAGAATTTTTTGGATTAAGACCCGTGAAATAGCAGAACCGTAAAATGGCAGAACCGTACATTGACAGACCCGTAAAACATCAGAACCGTACATCGACAGACCGTCAATATACCAGAATGTGTGAGACGCGTGGAGACTCGGAACAAGCGGTAGCGCATTGTTGCCAGGTTGAATCGATAAAAATTCCTTGCTATACCTACTCAAATCTGATTCAAACTGTTTTATAAAGAATTCTAGAGGGCTGAGAAAGGTTCGTACATTGTAGTATTTGTGTTTGATAATCTGTTTGATCCGAATCAGGAAGATATTGACATGATAATTTGATTGTATCTAGATAAAGAAGTATATATCATTCTTTTTGTTGAAAAATCATATAACAAAACATCAGACATGTGAATATAACGATGTTTTCTATGTATAATAGGTGAATCTATTCTCGGAGATTCTATAAGGCAAAAATGGAATCATTGTATGTCCATTTCTGAACATATAAATATTGGAGAAAAACATCAAACTTTCAAACTTTTCTCTAGTCCAATGGTCTGAGATTCGGATCAGAGTGTATACCTTTCAATTTGATTCTCCAATTAAATAGTAGATAATATAAATAAAGAACTTGTAGCATTCGTATATCGCTATTTCGTTTCGGGAAACCTACTCCCCAAGAGTTTTCGAATCTAGTGATTTCTTATTGTCAATTGTGCCTAAATCCCACACATGACTTCAGTTATTGATTATATACAGGGTGTCCCAAAATTGCTCTACTTGAAGTAGAGGTCAAAATAAGTTGATTGGACCCAATTCGTTTATATACCAAAATGTTCCGTTCGTCAATGGGGTACTTTGTATGTGATCAATGAGGTACTTTGTATGTGATCAATTTCATTTGCGTTTCGGATATCATAATGACTTCATTCATCTTCCATGAAATGTAAATCTCAAGCAATGACGGCTCGAAATACCGCCTGTTGGTTGATCGAGGAGGTGTTACATACATTTTACTTGATTATTTGGGATTTTCCCTCCTCGCTTCTACAAAATAATAATATGAGCATAATTTCAATATACAGTGTGGTCATTTAAGTGTGCAACATATTGGAATCTTCTCAATGAATTGCACAACCAAAATACAGATAGTGCCAAGAGTTGGTGCATGTTCGATCATCATTTCAGGTGCACTCAGAATAGTTGCAAGTCAAACAGCATACAGGGTAGGTAAAAAGATATAAAAAGTGCTCAGGAGTAAAGTACCCGTATTTCAAAAAAGTCAGCAAAATGTTATTGAGAAAAGTTGTTCACAATTAAAATTCATACCTAAATACCAAAACATGGTTTCCTAAGACATTCTTCAAATCCTTTCAAATCCTTTCGTTAATAAATTTCCATTTTTTTTTTCAAATTCAAGCATATTTTTGCATTCAACTGATTTCAATTTTTTTAGGAAATCACAAACTTCATGTTTGTTGCAACGATATTCAGCTCAACTTTGAAATTTTGCGAACCCTATTTTCAACAAGGTAAAACATCATTAATGATAATATGCATATTCAAAAACCTTCATTTAATGTGAACATTTTGTATTTGAAATGTTTATGAAAAAGCTGAACAAATTGATCGACAACCATGATATCTTTTGAAAAATCACGGACACCCAAGGAACAGAACAAATGAGGGTTGACAGTAAATATTGAGGCAGTTTGGTGACATACTCCTTATCTAATGATGTTTTACCTTGTTGAAAATATGGTTTGCGAAATCTCAAAATTAAGCTGTATATCGTTGCAAAAAACATCATGTTTGTGATTCCCTGATAAAATTAAATCCAAGTTGATTGCACAAAAGTGCATTTATTTGAACAAAAGTATGATCAACTGATTTTGTTATGATCAAATTATGAAAGTGTTTAGGGTGAATATAAAAAAAAATACAAATTGGGAAGTTATTAATGGAACAAATCGAAACACTAAAATATGTCTTAGGAGGCCATGTTTTGGTATTCAGGAGAAACTTTCAATTGTA